AAATTGCACGTGTCAAAAAATTGCACGTGTAAAAAAATTGTCCAATTGCACGTGTAAAAAATTGTCCAAATGGATTCGGGAACGGTGAAAATGCATAATTCAGTACAATGAAGTAAAAATCATATACCAAAGCAAAGAAAAAGTTCTTTTTTAACTAATATTGGACTTCACAGACTACTGAAATATAGCTTCGTTATAGAAATTTGTCAAAACACTTAGAGACTTATACGCTAGAACAGTTAAGAAATAAATGTCTATATTGTCTGCTATATTGAGAAAAGGCTTACTTTACCTTACTAACCTCGGAAAATAATGCAGATTTCCTCGTAAACTATTTAATTTGTAAATGTAAGATGTGAAAATAATCTTGCCAATTGCAAATCTCAGAATTCTACTGCAATATTCATGGTATAAGTTAATCATTTCTCTCATATATACAACAGACAACTTTTATTCAAAAATATTAACTTCAGTTCCAGATCTTCACCCTTCACATAGTATCCAAATACTCTTTTCATAATATATAATATATCTGAGATTAATTTGAAGACCCTTTTAATATCATTTATTCCACAGTTATGAAAAGATTTGTCTGAGTAAATTACACTTAATTATCATGAAGAATTTTAACGAAGTTTTGAAGTGAATTTGATAAAGGTAATTAAGAATGATGAAAATTAGAAGTCGAATATAATTAGGAATTCTTCATTTTAGCTGAAAGCAAGCTGATATCCATTACGTTTGTTATTTCCAGTGATGTCTCGTTATTTATTCTGATTCCCTTTTTAATACGCTTTTAATATTCAAGCAAGCGATTCTCAAATGCCAAGAACTGAACACTCTTTCAATATATAATACTGAGAGATATTTCGTGAAAGCAAAAATTTGTTGGCTGAAATTAAACTGCATTTGTTAAATGCTGCCGAAAATAAATGAACATGGAATTAACTCAAAATACTTAGATGAGTATAAAGCAGAAAAATAATTTTCGTTAATTATGTAAAACGTCAGCTTTACTATGAAAATAAAAGCAAAAGATGAGACTCTTCTTTACTTCATTTTATTCTTCGTATTCTTCTTCATTTCTTCTTCTATTTTATTCTTCGAAGAATCATTAGGGTTTTAGAAGTAGGAAATATGAAAAATAAGAAATGCCCGTGTCGGGACTCGAACCTAGATATCTCGAATGCCAGTCAAGTCTGCTACTGTTACATTACGAAGGCATGCATGAAGGAGGGGGAATTTGTGTACCCCTTTAAAGGGCTACTGGGGATTAGAAGACCCAATTGCCAGATCCTGGTGATGAAGAATCATCATCCACCACCATTTAGTTCGGGTGCCACTGAAGAGTCAGTAGGTTATTTTGAAGCAGAAGACATGAAATAATGCTCGAAGCTTGACCTCTCGAGTGTGCTACTACTACACCACGAAGGCATGCGAAGAGGAGAGAGGAAATGCCTTATTATCTTATTCTAAATTATGTTATGGTTGTCTGAATGTGGGAAAGCAACGAAGGCTTTCTGCCTCAGGAAAGGGATTCCTTCGTGAAGGACTTTCGAAGGAAAACTGGTTCGTATCTACCCCACACACGGGAAAAAACAGAAAAACCAACTATGGAGTAAGCTTGTTTGCCTGTGCTCAAACCTATATCAAACTATTAGCATTCAGCAGCTTTAACACACCTCCACCGACGAAGCCACGATTATTCTAAAAATGATTTTACTCGAAAGAGAAAAATATTTTGCAACATACTTAAAATGCCTTTCGGAGAAGTTGTTTTGTTTATTTATTTGAACGCATAGCTGTTTGTGGTTTCGCTTATTTGTTTCACATGTTCTTTTGCTTATTTTTTTTCATGCATACGAAAGACATCTGTTGAAGAGAAGGATATCGTTATACATACCTCTCTAAAGGAATTGACTCCTATTTACGTTCCACATGGAAAAACTATGAAATCATGTATGAAGCCAATTCTTTATTTCGAACTTGTATCAAAACAACCGGTGCTGAATAATTTTAATAATCGTAACTAGATCATTTAATTCTTGGTTCAACTAATATTGCATTTAAATGCATATGGAAAGATATTATAGGATTTTTGTCAATATTTTAATTTCGATTAAAACCAAATAAAATCATATTTTATAAGTACTTTTATAAGAAAGGCCAATCTTCTTGTAAATGGTATAACTCCTTTCCAAAGAAAAAATAAAATTTTTCTTAACTATAAACCAAGCAATTATTAATTTTTATGTAATTTCTTTCAGAATGTTTTTTAGCAATTATATAATGAGAAGCTAATGTAATCTAAAATTAGTACCTGCTGAAAAAATAAGAAAAAGGATTATTTGTCTTTGAACTCTTAAGCACCGCTAATCAATTAACTTTCTAAATTACTATCCTGGCAAATTTTAATCAAAACTGCTAACAGAGTTTGCACTTAAATTTAAGGTTAACTTAGACTATGATTTATCTGATTTCTTGATTATTAAGGTATACCAGGAAAACCGCCAAGTTTTATTGTGTCGGAAAAGGCACCACGTTACACTGGAGAGAGAGGATTGGATTGGATTATTCAATTATGGCAAAGCAATATGGGCTATCTGCCTAAAGGGAGGGTTGCCTTCGTGGAGGACTTTCTAAGGGAAACTGGCTTCTATACACGTTACACATGGGGAAAATCACAAAAACGCCCATGCAGCCAGCCTGTTCGCGAGATTCGAACCTCGGACCGAACTACCCAGTGTTCAGCGTCTTTACCGCTCGGCCGCTGGTGGGCCTGGAGAGAGAGGATTTTATTTTTATTTGCTCGGATTCACCAATTAATATTGCGGCGGAAAAAACCACTATATTACAGTAAGTATTAGTTTATCTCTAAGTTTGCTTATGAGTAAAAATTAATTCATGAGGAAATGAAATAAATTACGTATTGTATTGACATACATTTTACAGAGACATTAAGTAAGAACAGTATTGATCATTTCAATGGTCATTCAGTACTTTTTTTTCAGCATTCTCATCAAAATTGTATTTATTAGATTACGGGCACTACTCATAAGCTCTAAATTATTATTTATTTGTAACTTAACATATAATTTTTGAAATCACTTAATTTCTTAATGGAGTATCTTCAGTATTTATTTTTATCACTCGGTTATAACTATATTACGTTACGCTACATATATATCATTCCACAGTTCTTAGAAAGTTGTTGTTAGGGTCTTTGTTATAATACATCATATACTGTTCTTCGTATGTATTTGTTGTGGCCTTTGTTAGGTTTATATAATCTACTGATCTTTGTACACATTTGTTATGGTCTTTGTAACGTATATTTAACTATTCTTAGAACGTATTTGTTATGGTTTTCGTCACTTATATATCATCTACTGTTCTTTGTACGTGTTTGTTATGGCCTTTGTTAAGTTTTTATCATTTACTGTTCTGCTTACGCATGTGTTATGGTCTTTGTTACGTACATATCATTTGCTGTTCTTCCTAAGTATTTGTTATGGTCTTTGTTATATATATATCATCTACTGTTCTTCGTATGTATTTGTTGTGGTCTGTTATAGTGTGAGTAAGAGTAAATTAGAAGCAATAAATGTATTTCCTAATAATTTAAATATTTACTTTATTGTTTAGTATTCTAACTAATTATTACAAACATTAATTATATTTAGCATATGTCCAACTGATAATTTTTATGACTATATGCAACATTAGCTATATAAACTAAAGATATTTTTAACGAAATCTTGTAGAGATATTAGGATTTTTGATTCTGAGAGCCGTGAAAAATTAACAGTGCCCTCGCCGGGAGTCAAACCTCGAACCACTCGAATACACGTCGAGCGTGCTGGCCATTACACCAGGAAGACATGCTAAGAAGGAGGGAGAAGTACTTTATATACTCCCCCGTATATACTCCACTGGGGATTAGAGGACCCAATCGCCCTCCACCACCGTTTTTAGTTCTGGCGCCACTGTAAAAACATTAGGATTTTTGATGCTGAAAGACATGAAAAGTGAGCAGTGCACTCCTCGGGATTCGAACCTCGGACCTCTAGAATACGCGCCGATCGTGCTGACCATTACACCACGAAGACATGCTAAGAAGGCAGGAGAACTAACTACCTTATAATCTTTTATAATAGAGCTTACGTTTTAGGTACTTACGTATTATCTCAACCACCTTAGCGTAGTTTGGCGAATTTTACGGACGAAAAGGAACAATTACTTTTTATTGCGAAAAATTACACTCAACCTTAATATTTTGCGTTTCATCTATACATTTATTTAAAACAACAGTCAGTTTAAACGTAGTAACAAAAGGATTTTTTTTTTCCTGTGGCAGAAAATTCGTAGCGATTGCTTTGAGAAAGATTCGAAGAATAATTTCTTTCGAGATTTTGCCACAAAATGCAGTATTCGTGCTATTCCTTCTACCGTAAGAAAATACTGCAAACACATATTTTAAAATCAAGTTCAAAGCGGGGAATCACAATTTATTCATAAAACCGTTGGAACTTGGAATACAAAAAAGTCACAGAACACATAGTATGAAGTTGGTGACTTTGGAAACTGAATACTTGTCATGCGAATGGTTACCTGAATAATGTTTTTGCGCATGGTCACTAGAGTTGGGAGTATTTTAAAACTTCGATAAATTCCATTAAAGTGGTTAAAATAATAGGTAGTAACTTTTATTTAATGATTTTCCTTAAATACTGGTAGTAGCAGTGGTTTCTGCAATAGAGATTTCTTACGGAACAGTCACAAAGACATATAATTAAAAGCAGAGCAACCAAACATATATTGAAGTGTATTTTAATAAATCTAAAAACTGCTTAAATTCCATTTTAAAATTCATGTACTTAATTTACGCATTTCATGCTATGATGTGCTTTATTGTTAAGATAGCTATTGCCACTCGGATATAACGGCAATTTAGTAAAAAAAATATTGTATTTCATATTTGAAACAAAAAGAACAGCAAATATCTAAAAAATGTTTATTCAATAATACTCTTTTATTCAATTAAGACATTAAAAACTGCTAATGTGAAACAAGATTGTATTAATTTTCGTGTTCAGAGAACAGCTATCAGCTGGGCATGTGTTCTCCAGTATTATGTCTTTTACCTAAAAAAATACATAATTAAAACCTTGTATGAAAATATTTGAAAATGGTTTTAATATTTAAATTATTGCGAAGTCACATTTCATGAAGTCACTGCTCAGGCATTTACGCAAAGTGATGATGTAATATTCTGGAATGGAGTTTTATTAAATTATAAAACTTACAGGAGTTATGTTATTTGAGCAAGAAAAGTAAATTTAACAAGAGATATTTACAGATGGCGAAAGATTTACACACATTTATGAGTTTTCTAAAAGGAATAGTTTGAATTAATAGAGCGAAATTTTAAAATTTTTATTTTTTAAAATCTATGCAACAATGAAAGCTCAGAAATTTTGACGTACAAAATTATAATTTTAATATGATCCTGTGGAACAATATTTCGAATTAATTAAGTTCCTATTAACGCTTAATACATTGTTAAGTTACAAAATTGCAACATCAGATGGAAAGTTCACATAAATTTAAATTTATAGAGCTGATAGAGATATTAAATATCTATAAATTATAAAAAAAAATATTCGGATCTTTTCGATTTTGTCAGTATCTCAAATCTCTATCTCCTTCTGTCTCAAATCTTCTCCCTTTTTACTTCCTTGTACGAAGTAAAAAGGAAGTATTGTAATCGCGAAAAGTTTCAGGCAACATATTTCAACGAAAATATCCATTTTGACCGCTATCGAATGCAATTTAACGATGTTTTTGCGTTATATCTGTGCGTAAGGACAGAATAAAAGACACCTTTCCTCCAAAAATATTATAAAACTGCTTTAAATTTAATTCTTAAATTATTTAAGAGAAGGTTTCGTGCCTTCTGTACGAACGTACAGTGGGTAAAAAAAGTATTTGCACACCTACATTTTTGTTTGCAATTCATAAAAAGAAGCATTAAGAAATAAAAATTGTATTGCCAAATCAGAATAAGTTTAATCATCCAAAACAAACAGAAAAAAAAATTACAATAATATAACTAACAATGCTTTTTTTGTAACAAATTAAAATATCTCGTATCAAAAAAGTATTTGCACACCTGCATGAATACAAAGAAATAAAATTATAGCAAATTTCAAATAACTAATATTTAGTACGCATGCCTTTAACATCTATTACTGCTTGTAATTTTGCTGGCATTGATTTAATTAAATTTTCTGTAACAGTAGGGTCAATATTCGACCACTCTTCAATAAGGGCTTGTTTAAGGGTAGATTTGCTTGAAATCTTCCTTTTTACTTATTTTTAAATTCAAAGAATTCCACAAATTGTCCAAAGGATTTAAGTCTGGTGATTGGGGTGGAGTGGCAAGTTTTCTGGTTACATTATAAAGCAACCACATACGTGTTATACCGGCGGTGTGCTTGGGATTATTGTCTTGCTGAAAATAGTACGAATTACAGATACACAATTTTATTGCACTTTGTGGCAAGTTATCTCGCAAAACATCAATATAGTTCGAGCTGTCATATTCCATCAATGAAACACAAATTACCAATTCCTTTGCTAGCCATGCAACCCCAATCATACAGAACCTCCTCCATGTTAACTGTAGGTAACACATTTTTGGTATGAAAAGCAGCACAAGGTTTTCCCAAACTATTTCTGCGATCTGATTTAAAGATATTGAACTCACTCTCGTCGGAGAATATGACATTTTTCCAAAATCGATGGCTTATTGATATATTCCTTAGCGAATTCAAGTCGTCAGTCTGTTTCGTTCAGTTTAGGAGAGGTTTTTCCTTGGTGATCTCCCATAAATGTGTGCATCGTGCAGGACATTTCGAAGCACTTTGGGCACAGATTTGAACTCCAATGTTGAAAGCGACATCATTTGGCTAAAGTAATTCACTAAAAATGGATTTTTGATGCTTCTATGATTTTCGCTTCATTCGCAGTGAAAGTTTCTTTGGGTCGTCCAGAGCGCAAGTTATTTGATGTAGATTCTCTTTCACATTTTATAACATACCAAACAGTAGAGAAGCAAACATTTACTTTTTTTACCTATTTCTCGATAACTTAGGCCATTTTCACGTAGAGAAAAATTTTTTTTTCTCGCAACGAAATCGGCAATTCAGATTTCTTAGGTGCCATTACAATTTGAAATCGACAATCAACTGATAACGTTTCGACAACACTGTATCTGGTAGTTTTACGTATGTTATTTACTGCGGGATGACTGTGAAATAATAGCATAAAAATGCAAATTTGCTAAAGTTGAGTCGAGTGTGCAAATACTTTTATGACATAAGCTATTTTAATATTGTTGCAAAAAATGTCTTTTATTAATATTGTATTTTTTGTAATTAATTTAAAGAAAGGCTTATCTATTTTTTAAATGCCAATTTTTGTATTATAATGCATTTTATAAATTGTAACAAAAATGTATTGTGCAAATACTTTTTGTACCCAGTATGTCGTACGTGGTACTTAAGTATTTATCTCGCATAACTCAAAAACGAGTAGCCTCAGAACGTTGAAATTTTGTATATCGGACGCTATAAACATGTAGATGTGCACCTCGATTTGGTTCCATCGGCCGCACCAAACGTATATAAATATATTTATATATATAGATCCACTCTGTTCCCGGCCTCAGTGATATCAGTAGCTTTACTCTTATATGTTTGTAAATTGTACATTTTTGCTTTAAAATGATTGAATTATGTTGTTGTATCTTCCGGTTAAGGTTTTTATGCCCTTTCGTAATTCTGGAAGCAAATTTGTACAATAAGTTTAAATAACATGGCGGACATATGTTTACATTTGAAACAGCAGAATTGTAGATTGTTGCCAACTAGAGACTAAGCTTCGCAACACAAAAATAACGCTTCATTTATATTGCGAATTAAAATCTGCTAATCCTTTCTGGAATTTTTTCGAGGAAATAAGTGGTTAAGATTTACTTCGTAATTCTTAATGCAGATATTTTGAGTTTTATGTATTTTTTCCTTGTCGCGAAGTGAGAGCTGAATTAATTATATGAGAAATACTTAATCGTCTGTGAAAACTGTTTTTTTTCCTGTTTTGTTGATTAATTTTTTCATACCTCATTTTAGTTTATTATGGTATTTGAATAGAACATGTGGCAACGATAATTCTTCAAATGAATAAATTTTGTGCATTCAGAGTGTCGTTAATAAACAAATATAGTGATTTTAAAAAGCATTTATTCTATTGTGGATTATGCGCTGCGACGAAGTATATTTAATTCCAATCCTCAATTTAATGAAATTTCAAGAAAAAAAATGCGTAGAATGTAATAGTCCGTACAGGAAGTCATGGGTGTACACATCAGATTTTTTCAGTTTGGAAAAGGATCTCTCTGCTCCGAAGTACTCTAAGTATACTATAGATGCAAGCGATCTATTATTTTATTATTGAAAAGCTGCCCCTGTAACAGTTTGTGGAAGTAACGTAAGGTGACCAGACGTCCCGCTTTTGGCAGGACAGTCCCGATTTTTAACAATTTGTCCCATGTCTCGCGACGTTTTAAAGAAGTCCCGATTTTTGTAAGCACGAGAAAATATATTCTTATAGCTATATATACACTCTTCTCGTTGAAAAAGAATCTTCAAAATGTTGACTAGAGTTTGTACACAATCAAGTAAGTTTCTTTCAAAATGCTCTAAACCTTATTGCAGGTGACAAAGTTTCGGTAATAGAAGTAGCAAATGAAGTTAATAATTTAGAATTTCAGTGTCAAGAGCAGTTAGAGAATAATTTTCTTCCGTTAACTTTCCGTAGTAGGTGCAATAAATTGTGCAGATATAATGAATCACATTAAAAAGTTCTATAGTAACTGCATAGATTATTTAGAAGATTGGACGGTACATGACAATGACACTAAACATTTATTTTCATTGGGTTACATTAAAACAAGAACTTAATTGCAATGATGTGCAAAAACCATTCGATCATATTACTCAAAATTTCCCACATAGCAATATTTTCGAAAATGATCATTTTAATGAGGTACCATTATTAAAAAAAAATATATTGATAAGGAAAAGGTTAAATCCCGGGCATCAGCAAAAATCACACTAGAGAACAAATGGTTAGAAATATTTCACCATTTTGAAACAAATCATGTTCTCTACAATAATGAATTAAAAATTGTGGAATACCTATCCTTACCAGGAACTAATGCTGCGACTGAACGCGTCTTTTCTACGGTACGGTAAATAAAGTATGGACATCAGAAAAATCACAATTAAGTGTTGACACTTTAAAAGCCATTTTATATGTGAAAAATAATTCAACAAATTCTTGTGAAAAAATTCTTCTTCATGACCTTTCAAAGAACGATAGCAATTTAATAAAAAAAATTCACTCAAATGAGAAGTATGACAAATAATACACTCATGTCCATAAATTAAGGATAATGCAAAATCAGGCAAAGGAAGAGTTAGAAGCAAAACAAATTTGACTTATTTGTAAAGCTTATTTATTAAACAAAAGGTAAAGAGCAAAAAACTGCTATATGTTTGATATTATTAAAAAAAATTAGCGATTTTTTCTCCCTGGAGCAAATTACAAAAAACCAATATTACATGGTTGGTATGATTGTTAATACATTGTACGTCTCCCAGACGATACAATATCCGTACAACGCCTAGGCATGCTGAGTATCAAATTATCGATCTGATCTTCGGGAATATTACACCACTTAAAAAGCAATGCTCTCCGAAGTTCCGGTAGACATGTAGGAGGAGGTTGACGGGCTGCAACTCGTCGGCCAAGCATGTCCCACACGTGCTCTACTGGATTCCAGTCCGGTGAGAATGCTGGCCAGTCCATGCGGGTGATATCCTCCGTTTGAAGGCATTCGCTTACGATGTTTGCACAGTGAGGACGGGCGTTGTCATCCATAAACACAAATTGTGCGCCCATGGCGCCCCGAAACAAACGTACATGTTGTTCCAGAATGACGTCCCGATAGATTTGGCTTGTCATGGTTCCAATTTGAACATGCAGATCAGTTCTGGAACACAGAATATTTCACCCCAAACGAGCACTCTTGCACCACCGTAACGGTGTCGTTTAGTGGTGTTTTCTTGGTGGTAACGGGTACCTGGAGCTCTCCATATGAAAGTCCAGCGAGAATCAGACTGCAACCTAAACCTCGACTCGTCGGAAAACATCACACAAGCCCACTGTTGCGGTGTCCACAATGCATGCTCTCTACTCCAGGCTAATCGCAGGCGACAGTGAGTTGCAGTAAGTGGAACGCATCTGACATGTCTACGAGCATATAGACCCATCTGCCCTAAGCGTCTGTACACGGTCTGCCTTGAAATTGTCGTACCAGTGGCTGAAGAGACCTGACGAGACAGGTCTGAGGCTGTGCTCCGCCTGTTTCTTTTGGCAGTAACTGCCAAATACCGGTCCTCATTCGGCGTTGTACCTCTGGGGCGACCTGTGCTGTAACGTCTACTCGCATTACCATCATCTTGCAATCGTTGCCAAAGCCTGGAGATGACACTCTGGGCAATTCCAAGTTCGTCTGATACTTCCAGTTGGGTACGCCCACATTCCAGACGGCCGATAATTCTACCACGTAAAAAATCATCCAAATGTGTCCTTTGTGTCATAACTATTCGGTTATTTCACTAAAATGCTTATAAAGCGCCTGCGAACAATTTTACTTCTTTGCCTGTATTCTTTATATATCACTCTCTTACACTCTCGTCATTGTGAGTCTGTGTCATCTGGTTATTTCCTGAAATTTGCATATGATTCTTGAAGATGTGTGTAGTGATTTTACAGGTGATATATTTATTTTAGAGTTTCATTTCCACGGGACTCCGAATTATCCTTAATTTATGGACATGAGTGTAGAATAATACTATACATAATTGTTTAAAGTATAATATTTGCAAATTGTACTTATGTAGAAATTAAAAAATATATATATTGCAATACTATTTTTGCGTTCTATGAAAATTTTAGTTGCTCCATGCAGACCAAATTTTTAATCAAGAACCACTCCCCCCTCCCGGTCAATGGTGTTCCGCTTTACTGATGTTAAAATCTGGTCACCTTAAAGTAACGGTATCTTTAATTTGACTACCAAATCTTTAATTTGACTACCTTGATGTATTGCAGTATCATATCGCATGGTTTAATCTGATCTTTGATGTCGTGTATGTCAGAAAGAAATCCCATTCCATCAAGCTTTTATGTTAGTTAAGTCCCAGGCCACATGTCATTGGTGGAAGTTAGATTAATACGTATTTGATTATTTGAACGCGTTATTTAAAACTACATTTCTCCCAGTTAACATAACTTTATTGTTTTCCTTTTTGTTATTTCGATTAAAATAATAAGCAGTGTTTTATGATTCCAGAATATTTGTACATCTTTATCATTTGCTCCTTTTGCTCGTCATATGCTCTTTTAATAATATGCATAATTTAGTCATGTTAGTCTTACAAGTTTCTGTAGTCAACACACAACACATATTTTAGGTTAAGATATTTTTATAGAATTTTGTTGGATTTTAGTGCAATAGTGGATGCATAATTTAACGATTTATTTAAAAATTAATTCCTAACATAACGGGAAGCTATGTGCTTTCATGCTTATGATTTTTACTATGTAATGCGAATTTAAAATGTTTGATTATGAAAGAATTATCAAATTAATGTAACACTCGAATCAATTTTTCGATAAATATATGACTTCATGAAATTGTGCCAAAGGAATATGCATACAGTATTGTAATACATACCTTCATTCTTCATACGGAGCTTCGTAAACAATCCTACAATAAAAAATAGGGAAAATTAAAGAAAAAAACGAAGAAAGAAAGAAATTTGATGTGAAAGTAAATTTTCCTCTATTTATGCACTGTGAAGCTCGTAGCTTGGCAGTGCATAAATAAAAGAAAGTTAGTACTCAAGACTTACACTACTAAATTTGTTATTCAACAGTCAGTGCTAATTGACAAGCATGGGTTCATCATGGTTGGGATAATTATGAACCTGAAAGGGCATTAAACGCATTTTCTCATGTCTGAATTATTACTCAACATTCTGGTAAATATCACAGAACTAGGACGGGTACATTCCTATTTTCCAATCATCGGCACCTAAGAATCTTAGAACCTAAGAACATTCGAAACCTAAGAATAGAACATTCGAGATTTAACTCATCGAATATTAGCGCTATTTTTGTCATTCGAAATTTTTGAATCCTAACATAAACAGCAGTTGAGCGTTTTACCATAAAACATGAACGATTGATTTTACTGTTGATCCCCTTAACCATCCTTAACCTTTATTTCTTGAACTGCCACATCGAACAAGGTGGAAGATAGTAAAATTTCAGGAATTTGAACTATGTGGATTGATATTATCTTAAACAGAAAAACATCTCGGTAATTGCATAAGTTTAATGTGGTTTGTGACATATTTTTATTCATAATATTGATTTAATTTTAAATCATTTTTGTTTTGGGGATTATACCTTTGCTATCAAAAAGAGGTCCAATCTTCAATCTAAAGTTTTGAACAATTTGGCAAATTGTTGCTACCCTGAAGAAAATACTTATCTAAATAATATTGTTTGGATAATTTTCCTCAATTCTTTTATTTTATATTTATGCAGCTAATTACAGATCGCTTTGTATTTCAGTAGCAAAAACGTCTCAAAAATAAGTTTCTTTTTCATTTACTGAACGGTTTCATTCTATAATAGTTTTATGTACTAAATATTTATTTTCTGGGCAAAAGTTTACTAATGCCCAGAAAGAGCAAAATGAATTACACAGTCATTATAATTCTGATCCGGCTGGCTTTTCACAGAAAGAGCAAAATGAATTACACAGTCATTATAATTCTGATCCGGCTCGCTTCAAATGTATTATTAATTCTGATTTTTATCATCTAATTGCACTTTTCAATACTTTAAAATACATGGCTCGTTTTATGAGAATCAGAATGTTTACTTCCTTAACAATGTTCCTTAATTCAGACGGTGTCTAAAATTTATCTTTCATTAGTTTTCACATCCCAGAGTTTCACAAACAAAATAACAAATGGAACACATACTTACTGAAACTAAACATAATAAATCTAAATAAGAGGTGGAAAATATATTAAAGGTTGAGAGCTTAGTTGCTGCAGAGTAGATGAATATGCTATTGCCATCTAGCTCTAATCTTGGAAGGAGATAATAAGCAAGTATCACAATTATTTCTTCTTAAATTTAGTTACTTTAAGCAATTTATTCAGCTTATATGGGAGACAACTTGATATTGGCACCAAATTTCGTGTGGCTGCAGCAAGGGAGGATCTGAGTTGAGTTGAGGTTCAATTCTTTCTTGCACATAACACTAAACATAGGACATCGGACATCAGCGCTCGTCGTAGCGGTTGGTGCTTTTGGCTGCAACTCTTGGATGCCGAATCTGTGGTTAGAAATTGTTGCCTATGAACCACAGAAGGACTCACATTTAGCCATCAGGCCATCGGACATCGGACATCAGCGCTCGTCGTTGCGGTTGGTGTCTTTGGCTGCACCACTGGGATGCCGAATCTGTGGTTAGAAATTGTTGCCAAAGCCTATGAACCACAGAAGGACTCACATTTAGCCATCAGGCCATCGGACATCGGACATCAGCGCTCGTCCTTGCGGTTGGTGTCTTTGACTGCACAACTTGGATGCCGAATCTGTGGTTAGAAATTCTTGCCAAAGCCTATGAACCACAGAAAGACTCACATTTAGCCATCAGGCCATCGGACATCGGACATCAGCGCTCGTCCTTGAGGTTGGTGTCTTTGGCTGCACCACTTGGATGCCGAATCTGTGGTTAGAAATTGTTGCCAAAGCCTATGAACCACAGAAGGACTCACGTTTAGCCATCAGGCCACTTCTGTCTAACTTTGTACTGCCTCTAGTCTCCCAACAGCTCTCCATCACAGTTCTTCGGGCAAATGATGCTGGAGTTCATTGCTACAAATTGGCTATTCCAAATTTCTTATCTCTGTATCACTGCGAAGTTCCTAGGCTTGCACTGAAACTTGGAATTGTATGCTTCTTGCAGATGACGTTTTTCGATTGCTGCAATTTACATTATTTCGATTCAGCAATTCTTATTTGATAACATATTCAAATTTTATACGAATTGGGTTATTTTTGAACGAGTTATCGCTGTTTTTGTGATTGTTTCTTGATTTTTTGGAAACAGGTGTTGTTACGTAATGCCGTCAATAAACTTCGGAAGATATCCACGAGATAGTTTTATGAATAACTTTATTGAATGAACACGAGACTATTAATGTTTTAATGACGCGAGTTTTTATGTATCCTTTTTTATTTGTGGATGGCATCAGTTTTCGGCGTTTCCATTCACGTTCTGATCCGTGTTTGCTTAGTGATAGAAGTGTTCTATGAATTTAATGTTGATATTAATTGAATTGAGTTATGTATTGCATTTGTGTTCTGTTTATTGAATAATATCCTAGTTCCTACTTTACTTCAAAGAAAACTATGAAAATGCTGATGTCGAGTATTAATAAAAGTGCTTATTTGTCAAGAAGCATGTGCAGAATTCAAGTAGATAAGATTTATTTCTTTTTCTATAAATATTGAAATTGTAAACATATATTCTAATAGTAGACTCACTGTGTCTAATTATTATTAAGATTTATATACGTATATTAAGAACCTGTGCAGAACAACCGTTGACGGGTAGTCACGGCGTAGTTCTGATATTTTTTTGGTATTTTCGTTACAGGTGTATATCTGTGAAAGAATTCACAGCTGTAATAATTATTGAGAGATATTTATTCACTCTAAAGAAATTCGCTGTTGCAGAAATAAATAAATTAATTAATTAATTAACCGCCAACACCTGAAACTGTTAATCATCATGTTCAATGTTATTCTGATTGCAATCGATCATTTTAATAGAATATACCCCTGTATTAAAGTTTACTGTCAGTCTGTGAGTAGAACTTCGTTAACCATGCAATGTGCTGCAACATGTTTAGTGATATTTATTTCCTATCTAATCGAATATGACCTTTTAAAATACGTAATTTGGGCGATGAAGTATGTAAACCCATAACATAACTTAAGTAACTGACTGCAGAGCACGGAATTCTGAACAAATTATAGTTGTGATTTGAGTTTCACATAAATTCAGGTTTACGTAATGCTATGACGTAATTATAATGCCACATTAAAGTCATATTCTTTTATAAATTTAATTTTGCTTACTTTGATACAGGGTCTGCACATTGGAGAGTGCAGGTTTTCTTGCAGACTTCTCCGCTCTCATCACACTCTGTTTCGCACACCACTTTGCAAAGGTCAGCTTGAGAAACCGCAATGAAGACCGTCAGTGCCATGATCACCATGAAAAGGAAAATCAAGCGGCTGTTCATCTTTCTAAAAACGATATCAGTTTAAATTAGACCACAGAAACTAAAGTTATGTAAACACTATTGATAACATTTTGTCCAACAAGCATATTAAGTAGAATTCTTATTAGCAGTTCAAGAAAAAATTTACAATGCTATCTATTCTCTGAGCGCAGTTCAAAACTGAGGATTTTTCTCTTAGTTACTAGCCTAGGTGCCTGACAAAAGTGTGCAAACACCTGAGCCTTGTAACTTCAAACACTGCATAATTTGTGCAGTTTGAAAATTACTGTCTTGGGTGCTTATCCATTGAGTCATAACTAACTACTGGACATGATTTTATTTAAAGTAAATATGAAAATTGTAATTTAAATATTTTTATTGCATTTAAGTATTATTACATTATTTTCCTTTTAAATTTTATTTATGTTTGTAATGATGATGAAATTCATCGAAAGTAAAAAAAAATGCTTTCATTATATGCTTTTTAATTAACAGTAACTGTTAATATGAAAAGCGAGTTACTGAGAGTATTGTTACGTTTTTCTCTTCTGACACCAGTTGTTACGTTATTTTCTTCCTTCACGTTCGTACGGGGTTCATAGATTTGGAGTGAATAACGACGACACTTGATGAAGTATCCAAACACACTTTACTTAGCCAGTATTAATCAGGACAGCTCCAACAACACTTTTTACAGTCGTCGAAGCTCTACTATAAACACTCTGGAACAAACAGCGACACAGCATTCACACTGTCAGGCAATAACAGTGGAGACAGCTTCACGGCAAATCACTAGAGTACAGCTCCCAACTCTGCTTGTTCGTTCTCGGAACTCCACGTACATTCGAGACTCTCCACGCTACAACTCACGATGCACTCGACGACATGCAGAGCACAGCTCCCGACTCTTCGGTTCAATCGTTCCCGGAGCTCAACACGCTCTTTCGACTAGGCACTAACCGCGATACACTAAGAGACGCTTTCGGTGCACTCGACGACCCACTCGCACTCGCTGTCCGGCTGCCAACTCGATCGACTCCGCAGGGATTGACTCGCTAGACGAGGCACACTCTGTGAGACACTAACTCTCCGCGTACCAGCAGGGTTTATATAGCTTTTGGCTGGTGTTTGAGAACATTCTGGGCTAAACCGGTAAGAATTCTCGAACCGTCCAGATATATTGCCAACTTTGTCACCAAATGTCACCAAATGGTCGATTTTTCGCCAAATATGGCAACCTTGCCTTCCGTTGCATTTTATGGCAAACCTAAAACTGCTTTGTGGGGAAGCCATCTTACCGCGCCTGTACATTTCGTAGCAGTATTATCCAAAGATTCTCTGTACAATATTGATAGTGTACTAGTATTAACGGCTGTAACTGCCCAGTCCACTTACCCACCTAGCCTAGTATTGATAATGTAATTAATTATCTAATATGGACAAAAGGGAACGTTATTGCTATTAGATAATGTATTGATCGAATGGAAGAATTATTCTAATTTTTCGCCACAGCAGAAACTAACTGTATGTACATTATTAAGATATCATAAAGAAATATAGGCTTAAGAACATCAGCATTAGTGCTAAATCCTACTAGCTACTGTAATCCAAAATCACTGAATTTTTTTAAATATTGGTATTAGGAAATTACGGAAACCATTTTCCACTGTGACAAAATCAGCGTTAAATTATATTTTTCATGTACTAATTTTACGTTCATAATTGTATGTACCTTGGTAACAGCGTTTCCAGTTGTGATAACTTTAATATTGTCATGAAATACTAATAAAAATTTGCAGTTATTTACCTAAGTAATTATATGAAATATTTCACTAAAATTATTTTATTTTAAACAGTGATAAACTGAGAAATCGTTTGCTTCAATTCTTTATTAAATGCTTAATGTAAATACGAATTTTTGAGGTTAAGGATTTTATTATTACAATTAGGTATGTCATGATTTAATTGCTTAAGATTTTATACATTCATAATAATATGAATACTCACCATAAATAAAAAGAATTTCTATCATATTTTGCTTTGATTTATGATACATTATTTACGTTTGTTATCAAATTTAAGTAGTTTTTGATTTGTATTCAATGGTGTCATAAAAGATGAAAGTTATAGTGGTGCTACTTTGATAGACGGTTGCACGGATTTTGGCGATTTTTTGGCGATTTTTTTGGCGGGCGATAAGACTTATGGTAAACCCATTGCTGGACAAGTTATTTATGGTAACCAATACTTTGTTGTCATTTTATTTAAAAATTAATGCGTTTTATTATGCATAAATTCCGTATTTTAAATATTATTTATGGCTTCTAAATAATAAAAATGAATTTAATTTTGCATTTTTATTTAAAATAAAAATTTTATTGTTTATGATATTTATGGATATTTTATGTTGTGGATGATGTAATAAAATGACGTCACATTATTTTAAAAGTAATTGGTTTTTATATCTATGAATTTAATCTAATGTTTTAAACATTAATAATGGCTGTTTCAATATTAAAATACAATTTAATTTTGCATTATTTTTTAAAATATGATTTCATTATGAATGATTATTTAAATAATTTTAATTCTATGCGTAATGTAATGGGCTGTAAGCAGCTCCCTGATTGGTTACTGAATATTTGTACATTACCGCGCCAATTTAAAATGTTATTATTCATCTCTTCGAATTTTTTAGATTTCAAAGCGAACGGATATGTCGTTTCGAAGATGAATGTTGTTATTGGTAATTACCAAGAATTATTGGTATCGGAATAAAAAAATTGCCGTTTGAGACTTTATTTTGGCCAACCTGGCTTTCCTAATCAAAGATTTATTTATCGTTACAAGGGTCGGAGGAAATTTATTTTAAATTTTTGGAGGAAGCCTCGCTAATTGCATCTTCAATGAAGTGCGAGAGATGTGGATCACAGATGAAGATCGTTTTTTTCCCTGGTACTTATCAATATACGACAAGTAAAATACTTAAAAGTTAAATAATTATATCCTATAAAACTTATTTTAAAGGATTTGAATTTAAGTAATTGAAAAATTTTAATTCTTTTAAACGTTGGTATGATGTTTTGAATTCTATATTCAATTTCAGTAATATTTTATTCCAATTAAATGCTGGCGCAATGTTTTTATAGCTTTGTTTTTATTCCATTATATGAAAGTAATAATTTAACCTTACTTTATCATTTTATACTCTTAGTAAATGTATTTATTTACATTTGCCAGCTATCTTAAAAAACAAAGTTCTCAACAAAAAATTAATCCATTATTTTTAACGATATTTATTTTTTTAAAGTTTTGAATACTTTACTATGCGTGAAATACGTAAAAACAGCATTTTTCAAGATGGCTGACGACTAAAAACCGCGCCAACAGTTGCACCAACGTAAATCGCCAAAAATCCGTGCAACCGTCTACCAAAGTAGCACCGTTATAGTTTATATATTAGTGTTTTTCAGATGAAAATCAGTTGTTTTTTTTGTTTTTTTTTTTTTTTTTTTTTTTTTTTTTTTTTTTTTTTTTTTTTCGCAAAAAAAAAAAAAAAAAAAAAAAAAAAAAAAAAAAAATCATTAATTCAGTAAATTATTAAATCGCTAGCTTCGCTCTCTGTAAAATCAATATATTCTGTAACTAACTAATTTAACTTAAATTTGAAATAATTTGAACTTCTACCCTTATCTTAATATTGGCTTCCTCTTAATATTACGAAAGCTGTTTTTCAACCGAAATTAAACATTGGAATTTTTTTCTCGTTTGCATTATCCTTTTTTTAATGCATTAATCGCTAGCTTTCTTCCTTAATTTCATGATAAACTATAACTTCAAAAGGCTTTGATATCATCCTTTCTAAAGTCGCCTTAATTAAGCAGTTTTTTCACCGAAATTAAACAATGGACTTCTAGCTTGCATTATCCGAAGGAAGCCGCCTTTAAGATTTCAGCATAATGGCCTTCCCCTTACGGAGATCTCACTTCAAATCGGTATATATTCTCGTAATCACGTAAGTCGCGCATCATCATCATCATAATAATAATTCATAACCAATGACTTTCTCAAAACCGAGACACGGTCGTTTTCCGTTTTATCTACATAGATTCGGCATACAGGAAAATAAAAGATTTTTAAGTTCGCTTCTACGGAGGATTTATATGGATAGGAATAATTAGAAGACTGCTCGAGAGATTATGAAGATTATTAACTCAAAAAAAAAAAAAAAAAGAATTGGAATTATAGTCCTACTGATTGTTCGGGTTTTTGTTCGTCTTTATGTGATGTCGTACTAACCTCTTATTTATTTGTCAGTTTTGCTTCGCTTCATTTCGTGACGTCTTACTGGTTTTTATAGCTTCGCAACCTTGTTCTGTTACTGTAATTTTTATGTTCATTTAGTTTGTTTTTTCTAACTTTTTATATTACTTGGGCTCAGAGCATGGCTTCCCTGGAGCGAGTTTTTATATATATGCGTTCGTGTTAAATTCTTTTTGGACACAGCTGGCTCTCTGGAGGGCGTCGTTTGTGGTTTGATTTGCATGCAGCCTTTTGTGTCATACGGCGAGCTTTGTGTCATACGGCCGGACTGCTTCTAAATGACTGACTGACATCATACATCACCAGCTAGTGTCCTCAATGTGAACGTAAATTTCTCACTGCTATGCCTAGTCATGCAGTGTTAATTAAAACTAGTACACGTTCTGGGACTGTGAAATGACACAACCTTCCAGGATGTCATGTGCATACGTTACCGTGAAACACCGAGATCTGGAGAATATCGACTTTCAGCGGGGAATGTCAACATTCACATAGTCGCTTGGTGCATGTCCGAAATAATTTCCCAAATACTATTATTTCTGAATTACACCAATAAATGTCGACATTCACCATGTACTAATGCTGAATGTTGAACATATAAGAATATTACATTTTCTCTTCTCCGTCATTCAGTCGCTAAAAAACGCACTTGACACTTAAAATAAGAACTTAAGAATATAAAAACTTAAAACACACAGTACATTCAAAATGAGAAAGGAAAATAGTAGAAGTTAAAAAAACTTAATAAATTATGTGATTCAAATCTTATTTATTGCAACAACTGAAACTATTATGACACTTTGAATTGCACAAGAGGCCCTTGCTTTTACAACTGTATTTATTTGTGGAACACTTTCTTTTGTAATGACAAGCGTGTACATATACTCCTCTCTTTTCGACCTACACCAGAGCATATCTGTGATTGTCGACATACACCGGTGAGGGTCCGAATGTACAAGAATGTAATGCAATATTTGATCTTTCACCGACGTATTTGGTGAATGTTGACATTCTCTGGTGAAATTCGACATTCTCCAGTTTCGGTCTTTCACGGTAACACATACACAGATAGCGGAAACTCAAACGCTTAAATTCTATAATATAAGCATTTCTTAAAGTGCTAATTTTATCCTTGGGTAAATTAGTTTTACTAATTTTAGTTATCCATTGGCATGATGTAAAAGCGAACTGGGCATATAAAATATGAACAGAGGATACGAATTGTCATGAAAATGATATTAGTTTCATCTGTTTAGATTTTTTCTATATCCTGATTTATATTATTTGATTTTTTAAAAATTTATATTGCATTTTTGTCTGTAGTTCTGTTTAAATTTATCTAAATCAATCATTATTTTATTACATTTTTTTAAAATTTCATATTGCGGTTTCGTCTGTAGTATTCCTTTTGCATAGTTAAATTTGTGTGCAGTGTTGAAATAATTATTAATTTTAAAAAGTAAGATCTAACCCCTCCCACTAGCATAAAACTGCTTTTTATTAATAAATTACTGTCATTTAAAGCAGAGCTAAATTATTTTCTCAAAATCGACTAAAATTAATAGAGAACTGAAATTCGAAAAATAAAAAAAAAAAAATAAGTACATAATTAGATTAAAAGTATGTGAACAGTAAATATAGAACATTATAAATCGGTTTTGTATTTTTAAGGAAAAATGTTTTTACACGGTAAATTTATTGAACATCAGAAGATTGAGTGCATGCACGTTAAAAATACATACATATTTGGTTCTAAATGTAGCATGCAATAAATGTTATAATAATGAAGTTCATAGCGATTAAAATTTCGTTTAAAATTCTCCATATCCTAACACTTTTATTGCGCGTTTTAATGATAACAATGCTATACATACCTTTGTCCGATGATAAGTCGTAAATGTAACTGTATTAAATACTCATTCACTACACCCCTGATAAATTCACAATAAATGCATCTTATATAGCTTTTCCACTATCACAGTAAAATATCTTTTTGCTAACAGGTGTCTAGCGACAGATGGTGAGACGTCCGGCGATATCGTAAATTTAGTGGAGGGGGGAGGATGAAGTCTGTGAAATTAAATGAAAAATTTAAAAGAAAAAATCGTTGTCTTATCTTTGAGTGCAAAAATAAAATTCGAAATCTTTATAGAAATCCCAGGAGAAACGTAAAATTACAAAATGCATTTGATTTTCATATGACGTATTAGCTAATTTATGGCCTTAGAAGTAACGGCATAATTCCTATTCTAGAACACAAATATTTAGATTTCTAGAAGTACAAATCCGAGCATTATCGTGTCGGAATACTGTTACTTAAATCTTACGCGACCACGTTCTCTATATCAAATGTTTACTAGTTTCATAGTTTGGTGTTTTTTATTTGTCACAAACGCACGTTTTATAGAATTATTTTCCCCTTTTTCTTTCTTTTCTTCTTGGGGGCGGGAGGGAAGTTAAACCTTTATTTTGCATGGCTGCACAAAAGCACCATCTGTTTTCACCATTTGCCTATTAAAGTTTTATAGAAAGTACACGGCATTACAAAAAATTCCCAATGTAAGTTACTTGGTAAATGTTAATTTTCTAGAAATAATAAATATGAATGCATGAAATAAATTAATTCACATGCGAAGCAATGTGAACGATTTAAATGTACATTTTTCTATTTTTCACGTTTGTGCATTTGCATAGCATAGGCAAACATTTGCCTATGCAACACAATCAGTCATTTGTCCTTCTCCCTTGGATGAGAAGCGTTTCCATTTCGGATGCGTAAAATGTCTAATTCATTCCTTACGAAGAAGATGTACCAAAGAAAATTTGCCAATTGTCCGTTTTCATGTCGAAGTGGCACAAGATGTTTATCTTTCTATTTAAAACAATTCATTGATCGGGTAAATATCCTTTTTACTTACTTATTTCTTAGTAATTAGTATTTTTCTTTTATTTTTGTGATACCTTATAAGGTATTTCTCCTACTTCCCTAGCGTGTCTTCATGGTTTAACGGTAGCACGCTGGGCCGGTATTCCAGAGGTCCGTGGTTCGATTCCCGGCGAAGGCGGTTGCTTTTCTTTCTCTCTCCGGCCTCCAAAAAAAATATCCTAATGACTCTACAACCTGTGATGCAATTTATTCCGTGTATATTACGTAGCTCGTGCAGAATAACCTTTTGGACGATATCGAAGACTAAATAGTTTAGGAAAGATAGATATTCTAATTTTTATTTCTTACTCTTGTTATGCCTCTTACTATGCCTGTTAAACTTACTACTCTCTGACTATGCCTGTCTGCTAACTGCAGACCTTGTACTCACCTGTATATAAATTTTGATCATAAACCACCTCGACAGACAGAATTTGAGGACATCGTACTCAAGATATTCTTAGATTAGTTGCAATTTTGGTATTGCTAGTTCTTTCGTTAACTGAAAAAAATAAATAAAACATTTTTCACTTCGAATACAGGTAAGATTAAAATAATAATCCACGTGTGCAGCTTGAACATAAGAAAAGTTCCTTTCTTGATATTTGAATTCATTTGTTTGCTCTATAAAAGCTATATTACAAAATTATCCGGTATTGCAACTTGTTATCGAAGGACGTTGAAATACAGAGTTTAGGAAATTTTATGGTAACCCTAAAACTGCTTTGCGGGGAAGCCATCTTACCACACCTGTACATATCGTAACAATATTTTTTAAATTATATAAGAAACTGTAATTCTCTAATGTACGAGTATCAGTAACATTAAAATATTTATTATATGTATTTGTTCTGATTCACGATACATATAAAGTATAAAAATAGTTAAAGTGAAATTTAATTTTTTTATTTATAATCTATGAGCTCACTTTTAAAATTTGTATACTTCTTTAAAACAAAAAATTATATTGCATAAAGTGTCAGGTTAAGTAAGGTTACAAAGCACACGCGGGTTCTCTCGTCTAAGAAAATCGATATCTTACTGGAGAACTTTCTAAGAGAATGTGCTTCGTATTCACGTTGCACATAGGAAAAACCACTAAAACCATCCATGCATCCAGAGTTCAGCAACTAGTATCCAATAGTCTTAAGCTGTCGGCCACTAGTTGGGTTATATTACATAACAGAAAACAATGCATTCAACGTTTACAGTAATTAGTCTGAACAATGAAAAATATTTAATACATAAAAGAAAAATTAATATAAAATTGACTACAAGTTGAATTCATTTTTAAGTTTCTAATCAGTTACTTTATGACAATCCTATCACTTGCATTTCCATTTTCCTGCCAGAATGTAAACTTCTAGCTTGCGTGATAGTCAAATAAGGTAGAAATCAGAGACTATTTAACCCGCGGGAAAGCGCGTGGGGTGTATCATACGCCAACCCTACATAAAAGCGGAATTTTCCTAACTAGTGAAACTGAAATTCTGTGCTGCTTTCAGTAGCTGAATTTCTAGTTGTGGTTGACTTTCAGAACCGCCTTTTCTTTGCCTGTGTGTTACAGAAAAAGGTTTATCGGTATTTTGTTGGGTGTTGGTGTTGGTGTATTTAATTACGGCAAAGCACACTAGGGCTATCTGCCAAAGGGGAGGGATGCCTTTTGTGGAGGACTTTCTAAGGGAAACTGGCTCCTATACACGTTACACATGGGAAAACCACGAAAACACCCATGCAGCCAGCCCGTTCGCGTGATTCGAACCTCGGACCGAACTACCAGTGTTCAGGGTATTTTGTTGGAAGTGGGGTATGACACTTTCCACGCGCCTGTCCGCGTAAGTGTTTTTCTCACTGAATATTTAGTTCAGAAATTTATTCCTAGAGTGTAACAGTAAATATTTCTACTCGCAAGTGATTTTAAAGTACGTGACATTAAATTTTTAAAAATTTCTAACTGCATTATGGTAAAAAGAATGACTCCCTATGAACTGGAGATGCAATGCCTGTGAGATTTATTAGAAATATTTGAAAGCGATGAAGATTGCATTTCTGAAACTAGGAATATTTTCTACACTGTTTGGGTTTCGAAAAAGATAAAACATTAATTCCTGATGTTCCTAAAAAAGGAAAAACTGTTCTTATGCTTTCAACATTATATAACGATCATACTATAGATGATACTATTGGAGAAAATAAAGCGTCAGGAATTATAAGTTTTTATAATATGACTAAAGGAGCAGTGGATATGGGGGATGAAATGTCAGCCAGTTATTCAATTGCCAGAATAACAAGGAGGTGGCCAATGGTAATTTTCTTTCCTGCACTAAATGTTGCTGGAATAAATGCTTGAATTATATTACATTCAAATGCTAATCCACCAACCAGAAACAGAAGTATGTTTTTTAAGGACATAGCATTACAATTAATGAGAAAAAAAATATTTAACAAAGATCAGAGATTAATACTTTACCAAGAAACTGCCGAAGAATTAAAACGAATACATGAAATTCGAAACAACTAAGTATGAAAAATGTGATAAATTTTTGCCCTCGCGCCAAGGACAGAAGAATGTGAATGCAATGTTTAAAATGTGAAAACATTCTGTGCCAAGAACACATGAATGTATTTCGTTCAAAGTGTGAAGAAATAAAATAAGCATTCTGTATTAGAGATGCAATGAAACTTAGAGGCATGATGTTTATTTTTTTATTATTCTCATTTATCTTAATTTTAACTCTAAGATTATTTTGTAAATCACTTTTTTGAAACCCAATTATTATTTACGTATTTATAATACACGAGAACAAGAAAAACAGCTTTAAAACTAAATAAAACTATTTTTATCGTATTTTAAATATTGGGATATGTGATACCCCACGCGCCCACTCTAGTAACATTTCTTGGTGCGACTTCCGCCGGGTTAATAATTGTGTCCTTTATATCCTTTCACTGTTGTATTTAAAAAAACATAATGAAAAATCCCATATCGTCTTTTAGAGTTTTAGTACATTTTATGTCACCTTAGGAGACCAATGTCTATAAATTCAAACACATTATGTAAATTAAATATTTAAATACTGTGGATGATGAAAATTAATTTCACAAATAATTTTACTTCTTGAAAATTAAGTCTGAAGAATGTTAAAACAGCAAGAGTTTTTTTTAATCTTCTTTTCTATAATGAATGAAAATAATTCTTTCCTCATCTGAAGGATATTAATGAACATTTTTATGAAAATATACTTCATTCCAGATTTAAATTTTGTGCACATAATTTTTGGGAACTATATCTGCAACTGTCTATTTCTGGGGCTTAAAAAAAGAAGCACGTTTTGGATATTTACGTTTATTTAAATGAGTGCGCATTTTAATCGCTTGTAAAATTAATTAAATTTCTCTCAGAAACGGCATGAAATTTAAAACATGTTCATAGAAAGAAAATTATATGACGTGAGAGTTTAAAGTTGAATGAAGAGAAAATTATATGACGTGAGAATTTAAAAGTTTTTCTTTTAACAAAATTCATAGTAAAAGGTGCACACCATAATATAAGATGCAACATAAGGCAAAAAATACCTATTCCAATCCATAACTGCCCTTTTTCACTCTAATTTTGCACCCAAATAACCCAAATAACTAACTTTTAAGATATTGGTTTTTATAGTCCCATTGACTCCATTGCTTTTGATATGTTGCCTGCCAAATATTTGTGAAACCGGTTTCGGCTAATGAAAATATAACATTCTAATGATTTCGGATACTGCAAGCAACCATTGGCATGATTTAAGCCTGTTTAATTCATTTTGTATTAAGTTTTTAAACAGCATACCTACATTAAAACATTATGCCATGAATACCATATATCTGTTAACGTTGTGAGATGTGTAAGTAATATTTCAATGAAATGAGTAAAACAATGGTCCGAAAGAATTTAAAATGTTTATTTATTAAACATTCATGTAACTTCAGTTATTACAAATCACATCGTTAAATTCATAATCAGTCCATTGAAATTCTTTCTCCAGCTCTCAGATCTTGATTTCGATATTTATATTCTCAAATTAATGTTATGTTTTATCTATGTTACCGTGAAAGACCGAAATTGGAGAATGTTCACTTTCACCGGAGAATGTCAACATTCATCAAATACGTCGGTGAAAGATCGTTTATTGCATTACATTCTTGTACATTCGGATCCTTACCGGTGTATGTGGACAATCACAGATATGCTCTGGTGTAGGCCAGAAAGAGAGAAGTATATGTACACGCTGTCATTGCAAAAGGAAGTGTTCCACTAATAAATGCAGTTGTAAAAGCGAGGGCCTCTTGTGCAATTCAAAGTGCCATAATAGTTTAAGTTGTTGCAATAAATAAGATTAGAATCATATAATTTAGTAAGTTTTTAACTTCTGTTAGTTTGAATATACTGTGTGCTTTAAGTTCTTAAGTTCTTATTTTAAGTCTCACGTGCGTTTTTTCGCGACTGAATTACGGAGAGGAAAACATAATATTCTTATATATTCAATATTCCACCATTAGTACATGGTGAATGTCGACATTTACCAGTGTAAGTCACAAATAAGAGTATTTGGAAAATATTTCGAACATACGCCAAGCGACTATGTGAATGTTGACATTCACTGGTGAAAGTCAACATTCTCCAGATTTCGGTGTTTCATCGTAACATCTGTGAAGAAATGAAAAGTATGTTAAATATTACAAAAACAAATTGCTCTTACGTCATTTCTTTAAAAATCAAAGTTCAAAGTAAGAAAGAATATATGTAATTCAATTTTTATAATTTAAATAGTATATTAATTACTTAGTTGAGATGTGAGTAGTTATTATTACATTCAGTTTTTAAAGATTTAAGAACATCATTACAGAATTTAGTTTAAAAATTATGAGAAAATCATTTCCAAGGAGACTATGATAAAACTATTTAGATATGCCTTGCGTAACTTTCATACCGCATTATGAAAGTTTGATAACGGAATGTAGTTAAATAACACACTTATTTTTAAAGCACAGGTGACTATATTCTCAAAGATTTTTATTCTGAATATATCTCGTATATACTTTTAAAAGTATGTATACTGCTTGTTCAAGAATAGCATTGCAAATCCTATTTTTTAAAAGCAAATCTTACACATCTAATTCGCAACATTCAGTTTCTCAAAACCAGGTACTTAATTTTATTAGTTATTCTACCTCCGTTAGGAAAACTCTGCAGTATGGAATCTTATAATTTCAACAATATTTGCTTATGCTTAGCAAATCTACCAGTTAGCGAAATTCTCAGAACGCTTTGAGAAAGAGGTTTTTTCAACATTCTCAAATGTTGAAAAAAACCTCTTTCTAAATTGCCATAATGTACTTATTACAAAGACTACTTGATTATTATAACTTTCTTTTCTTTAAGATGCAAATGATTGTTATTCTGAGCGTTGGTAATATAATATTTCCACCTCTTAATGTATAAACGCTTAATTTTTGCTTGGCTCTACTACATTAATCGTGGTTTTCTCCATGCGTAACGTGTATGCGAGTTTCCCTTAGAAAGTCCTCCACGAAGGCATCCCTCCCCTTAGACAGATTATGTACCAAATGTAAGCTTATATACGCTTTTGTCTATATTTAATTGTGTATGTCCTTGTTTATATATAATTGTAACCATGTATCTACTAGTGTTATCACATATCTTGGCACTTTTTAGTTAATATACATCTATTACGCACTGAATAATCATGTACCTAATGTGTCTGTATGTATGTATATGAATTTATGTTCTGTATATATGATAATGTAACTATGCATCTGCACATTTTATCCTGTAACACGACACCGTATAGCAAAGATCTACTAGAGCCCCACTCTAAATTAATTGCAACCAATTATCTGTTCAGCACTGTATTAAGTACCTATTGTTAATGTATGTTAAAGTAGCACTTACCTAACGCTTGGGTATCCACTAATTACTGTGTACCTAATACACGTGTTTTATATCTTTGTACATTGGTTAATGTACTTAGGAAACAGTACAAATAATTCAGTAGCAAGACACTGTACCACACAGTACTAATCTAGAGTCTAACTTTTAATTCACTGTACTAATTACTTACTTCAGCATAACATTGCGCACCTAATATTTCAGTATGTACATGTCTTCTGTTATCTAATGATAATGCTTCAAAGGATCATAGTGTACTCAACATATGAGTACACACGTTATGTATATATGCTACAGTATACATGCTTTTGCATACACCTTGTAACATGGCAATGTATTATCCAGTGTCTAACATTAATTAGCTTTAACGCCACTGTATTAAGTACCAAATTTGTATGTATTTTTAGTATTATATTAGCACAATGAACACGTATGGTTATCTAGATAAAGGTGGACGTGGCGCTATACCGATTAACCGTATTGGTAGAGGGGTGGTGCCCACCTCCTCCGTCGCATGTCGCATGTCCCCTTAGACAGATAGCCCTAGTGTGCTTTGACATAAATAAATAAACCAAACCAAACCTACTACATTAATCGTGCATGATAGGGATGGAAGTATCACTTTTCACGTCTTACTAGCCGCGGGACGCATAGAAAGAGTCCAACATTGTGTGTCCAAGAGTCCAAGTGTGTGTTGCATAGATTTTCAAGGGGACAGCATTCAAGTACAACTGCTTCTATGCAGTAATACGGGGTCTTAAGTAGTCAACAGCTTTTCCTTTTTTTTTATTCGAATGCTCCAGTTTAGAATGGATTTGGTACAGGCACAGATAGAAGTGAGTATAACACCAGAATTTCATTCATCATTGAACGTATAAGTACAGATCCATCGCGCTAACAGTGCAATACAGCCACAATTTGACGAACATCACAGGCATGGGAACTGCCCATGTACCCACCCTGTTCCCCTGGAATCGAACCCAGGTCGTAAATACCAGTATTCAGCGATTTTATCGCTCTGCTACTATCCGGCTTACAGTCATACATACACAAAGATTCTTCATTGTTTAATCTTTTTCTAAATAATATGTCGCGATAACATTTGGTGGCAACAATTTGAAAGATTCGGAAGCAAATGTGACACGGCCAAAGAATGAGCTTCGAGGTTAATATCATAATCGTGCTAAAACAATTTCTCGGATTAAAAATAAGCAAGAAATGCATTGTTTTGTTTGTGATTGTATTAAATAAAGATTAGTCCTGCTGAGATATACTTTCAAATTCCAAAATAATTTTTTTCATATATGTTTTGTATGAATTATATTAAGTTAAAGAGATTAGAGTTAGTTCATGTTATATTGCATTATCTATATATATCATTCACCGTTTTTTGCAGATTTTGCCCAGCCTGAACCATAAAATCTTAAATATATATCGCCCATGGTGTTTTTTTTTGTATGTCTAGTTAATACAGAAGGATGTCATTCAACAAAATATAAAACTTCTATTTTCCGAAACAATCAGCTTGTAACTGCTTAAACTCTGAGAGATTTAAAAATAGTGAACGCATTCCTTAATAATTTTAATATTTATTTTATTTTTATAATCTAACTACTCGTTACAAGTTATAATTATGTTTAACGTATATCCAATTATTAAACTGTATGAATATTTGAAGCATTTGTTTAGTTAGTAAAAGATATATTCTGATAACACAATTTCTGTAATAGATACCTCTTACAGAATAATCGCAGAGAGATATAATTTAAAAGACAGTAACAAAAAAAAAACCTAATATGTATTTTTATAGATCTAGAAATCTTTAAATTTCACTCTAAAACCCATATATTTTATTTAAGAGTTTCATACCATATGTGTATTATTCTAAAGATAACGGGGACGGAAACAATCCATAATGATAGTTTAGCAGCTAGAAATGATTGTAATTCATGCTTGAAACAAAGAGAATAATTTGAGCAAAACAGATGTCTGATTTAAAAAATTTTATTCATTAAATATTCTATTCAATCAAGACTGTTAAAGGAAAATTGAATATTTTTTTTCTATATATCAACTGGTCATAATTTTTTCCATGTTATTTCTTTTATCTGTAAAGAAACAAGCAAAGAATTAAAATATTGTATGAGAATATTTGAAAACAGTGCAAAGGCAGAAATATGAAGTCTTTGCTACAAGATTCCAAAGGAAAATTTGGGCTATTTCATAGAATTATATTTCATAGATTTCATAAATTATAGAAGCTTAAAATAATGAAAATACTGCTTCAGAATTTCAAAGAAACTTTGGGGCTATATCATATAATTTTAAACTTAAAAACCTAGACCGTTAAAGGCCTACCAGCTGCAGAGCGGTAAAGACGCTAGTTCGGTTCGAGGTTCGAATCCCGCGAACGGGCTGGCTGCATGGGCGTTTTCATGGTTTTTTCCAAGTGTAACGTGTATACGAGACAGTTTCCCTTAGAAAGGCATTCCTCTCTTTAGGCGGGCCCACCAGCGGCCGAGCGGTAAAGTCGCTGAACACTGGTAGTTCGGTCCGAGGTTCGAATCCCGCGAACGGGCTGGCTGCATGGGCGTTTTCGTGGTTTTCCCCATGTGTAACGTGTATACGAGCCAGTTTCCCTTAGAAAGTCCTCCACGAAGGCATCCCTCCCCTTAGGCAGATAGCCCTCGAGGCTTTGCCATAATCACACACACACCACCTCCCTTTAGGCAGATAGCTCCGGCGTGCTTTGCCATAATTGAATAATCCAATCCTAGACCTTTAAAACATATCGGACCACTGTCCTAAATATAGGATTGCCCAAGCAAGTTAAATAGAAGAGAAACAAATAGATAAATTTTTGCATAACTCCCTTGAAATAGATGTAAGTTTCATACGCAGGCTAAACAAATGGCCAATCATAATTCATTAAAAATGTGGCCTTTTTAAAATGATTTTTTATCTCTTATTTAGGATTAAAATATATATTTCTTCTAAGCAGGTGTAAACATTTCTGCTAAACATTTATAGCACTATTTATAGAAATAAAAATACATATGAAAAAAATAACGTTTTCAGGTATTTCATTTGTATTTTACTGGTGTCTTGTAAACAGGACAACGATTCGGTCCCCAATTTTTTTTCTCTCGTCACTCCCCTATTTATAGATCACATTCCTTCAAACCGATTTTGAACAACAATTATTCATACAATGACATTAGAGTGACATATGTAAAGATTAGAAAATAGATTATTCTGAAATCTTATGTGGGTTTCTTTTGTATAACTTTGTAGAATCATTAGGATTTTTGAAGTAGGAAACACAAAAATGTGCAATGCCCACCCTGGGACTTGAACCTGGACCTCTCGAATACGCGCCGAGTGTGCTACCGTTAACACCACGAAGGCATGCAGAAAGGAGGTTGAAAATACCTTACATACTCCACCTTTTAAATTGCGACTGTGTTTTAAGAGACCCAATCGCCAACTCCTGGTGGTGAAGAATAATCATCCACCACCATTTAGTTTGGGCGCTACTGTATAGTTATTAGGTTATTTTGGTGCAAATGAAAATGAGCAATGTCCTCGACTGGACTCGGATGTTATCAAACTCGGTATTCGTGGTCATGGGAATTTATTTTCCGCTAAAAAAACTTTCAAAAACTCACCCCCAGAGGAAAATGGCTCTGTATGCAATATTGTTAAGCAAAATAAAACATGAAGACATCGTTTGCAAATGTGTCTAATAGTTTTTGAAACTTATTACAAAGCATGGCGTCCACCATTTACCGACAAGTTGAATCATATTACTGCATTCTCAACAGCAGCTCTTAGCATATTAGGAGGATTGTGATGGACATGCCGATCTACCGCATCTTTCAATTCCGGCAAATTATGTCGATTATTACCATAAACAGTGCTTTGGAGATAACCCCATAGCCAAAAGTCATAAGGTTTTAACTCTGGGGATCGACGTGGCAAAGACGTGGCCTATAATTCGTGAAATTTTGCTTAGGTAAGTGTGTAATACATGTACCAATGTGCGGTGGGGCCTCCGTTCTGCGTAAAAATAGTGGTGTCTAAAATGCCACATTAGTGAAATTCTGATATCACGAAAAGTCTTAACATTGACACTAAGCGAGCTACAGTCACAGTGCATGTAACAGGTGCAGCTGTCGATTGCTCTTCAAAGAAAAATGGTACAATTATGAAACTACTGTCATACCACACCAAACGGTGACTTTAGGAGAATGCAATGGACCTGGATAGATAACATGAGAGTAGGCTCTCAATCCCGGAACGAATTCTATTGTTTGGGGGAAGCGTCCAAGATTTGTAGATATGGTACGTGAAAGTAGGGATGAGCTAAGAGGAGAAAGGAAAAGGGATTTTGAGTATAGGCAATTTCAATCGTTCCGGGATTAAACGCCTACTATGAACAGGCTCCTGCTTTGAGAGGGTAGCTAACATTTCGTTAGTAAGTGTATTATTTATTATTCTTATTGATTGTCTGCCCTTTTTTTCAAAAATTTCAATTTTCTACAATACCTTAAGTAAATAAAAACTTTACAGTTACAAATATTCAATAAAACCTGGAGCATAAAAATAAGCAGTGAAACTCCTTCCACGGTTCGGGAATAAGTCAGCGAAAATATCCCTTTTTTCCCTAGTACCCACTGAAAGTCCTTCCACGATCTAATTATTTCCGTTGGAAACCATTCCGGAACCTTTCCTTTTTATTCCTCTCGCCTGCGTATATTGAACTCGCCCAGCTAACAATAGCAGGCGTTCCGAGATTGACGGTCTAGTTAACATGAGCGATTTCTTTGGGCCAGATCCTGCAGTTATGGATGTTAACATCCCCATTTAGTTAAAAATGAGCCTCGTCGGTCCACAAAAAGTTCCATAGCTAGTGTTCGTCCACTTCCATCGGTGCAAGGAAGGAATTCCAAAGCGGACGATTCTCTTGCAGCAGGATCGTTAAGTTCGTGTTCTTGAATATGTTTGATTTTGTATGGATAGAACTTCAGCACTTTACGGACAGTTTTGTACACCGTACTCCATGGCACGTCCATTCAACGTGCGACACCACGTACGCTGCAAATACCGTGTGTGTTGTTCATTGTTGCTTCCTCCACTGCTATTGCAACAACCTCCTTGCTTTCCTCAGAAGCAGATTTCCAGACAGTTTGCACACCCAGTTGCAACAAATAACAAATCCGTAGCTTCAAATTTTGCCATCATTTTCCTCAAACGTTGCTCTGTCGGCGTATCCTGGCCCTCGGCATATTTCTATTACTGAATGATACCTTTGCAAAGCACGCCGTTCATTGCTATCGCCATTCATAATAACATTTCACGAGAAAAACACAGTCTTGCATGCACATTGTCGATTTGTAATAATGAGAACGCTGACAAATATGCTCACATTTATTTGAAAAATCAAATGGCATGTAAAGCGTGTTTCCATAAATCATTTGCTTCTTCCCGCCGTAAGTCAATTACAAGCCATTTGCCTTTTTGCATAACCCCACAAACAGTTTTGTTTTAGAAACGACTAAATACGTTTTAAACCGATATATTCACGTCTTATGGCCGAATTCAGTGTTCAAAAATCACAAGTTAGCTACCTGTAAGAAAACAATTTCCAGAATGCGCACACTTTTTTAAGTAATTTACGATCTCACACCTTTCTAATCTCTAATTTGTGATTTTCACAGACGGATTTCTCCGTTACACGGACGGCGCACTCGACATTTATCGCCTTTTATGCCTTTAAATGGTAATTTTGTTTAGGTCAATGTTTTTTAAGGGTATGCAACTTGTTAAACCCGTGTAATGAAAGGCTAAGCTAGATTCCGACCCTTCGACTCTTATTTCGTTTAAGTATATTGCATACAGAGCCATTTTCCCTCTTGTGGCGAGTTTTTAACTTTGTTTTTGGCGGAAAATAAATTCCCGTGACCACCTTTACACCATTACCAAGTTTGATAACACTTGGTATAGTAGATTTCATTTTATGAACATTTCAAAGTGGAACTTTAGTTATAACCACGCTCTATATTGCTTATTGTCTAGAAAATTGAAACCTGGCCACCAGAAATGAAAATTTAATTTTAGAGAGCTTTCACCGTTTATGCTGTAACTAGTTTTTAAGTTTACCATATGCCTTAGAATAAAGTTTCTTAAACTATGAGTTACGACCACAAGTGGGGTTGCAAATCGAAATTTCGGGGTTGCGAAAATTCAGTTCAATAGTTGAATTTAAAGAAACTGCATTCATAAGACTTTTAAAGAATTACATTAATTAACATTAATGAGATTAGACTTTTAAAGACATTATATTAATTGATATGAATGAGATTAATTACCTGTTATATAAAGTGCAAAAGGAATTTGTAAAGCTATCTAGCGATTTAAACTTAAAATAAAAGGCGTAAAATATATGTCGTGCTGAATGAGAGAAGAGCATTAAAACTTGGGTTTTGATTTAACGCTAATTAAAACTAAGTATCGTTCAATTTTGAAACATGCTTCAGGTCCAGCAGTGTCAAATATCGCACCAGCATTTAGTTTGTTATGCAGCAGAAAACGAGCACATTTGTCTCATTAGAATTTTCTTTAATTTTTGTTTGCTTAAACTAAATTCTAAAATACTTCTTTTTATATGTACATTGTTTACCAAAGAAGTAAATTATTTATGGGAGGATATTTATTTTTATATCCTTATTTTATATTTAATATCTACAGTCTGGAAAAAGTCTCAGTGATAAAAAGATGTCGCGATTGAAATGCATTACATACCTTTATTCTTCATACGGGACTTCATAAACAATACTGCAATAAAAATAAGATACTTTAATGAAAATCTATTGAAGAAGGAGAAAAAAGCATGATGCGAAAATAAATTTAAAAAAAGAAAAAAGAAAAAAGCATGATGTGAAAATAAATAAAAAATAAGATACTTTAATGAAAATCTATTGAAGAAGGAGAAAAAAGCATGATGCGAAAATAAATTTAAAAAAAGAAAAAAGCATGATGTGAAAATAAATAAAAAATAAGATACTTTAATGAAAATCTATTGAAGAAGGAGAAAAAAGCATGATGCGAAAATAAATTTAAAAAAAAAGAAAAAAGAAAAAAGCATGATGCGGAAATAAATAAAAAAATAAGATACTTTAATGAAAATCTATTGAAGAAGGAGAAAAACGCATGATGCGAAAATAAATTTCCTTTTATTTATACTTTGTATAGCTTATTGCTTGATGTCCTTTGATATTTAAAAACAGTGCAAATTGATCAATATTTTAATTGGATAGTTATGAATATGAAGGCGCATTGTACATATTTGATTATACCATGTATCTGAAATATAACTGAAAATTTTTGTAACTAACATAGAACTAGGAAACTTTTAATTTCCCATTCTTTAACTCCTAAAAATATTATAAAATTTCCAAGATTTAACAACTAGAATCTTGGCGTTCTTTTTATCCTTCGAAATATTTTATTACTAAACTAAAGAATAACTTAGCTTTTTCGAAATAGAACATGAACGATTAGACACATTGATGTCCTACAAAGCACCATTTAAAAATACAACGCAATTATTGCAATTTATAAGTACCTAGATCACCAATATGACATCATGGTTGGCTCAAATGCTGCGTTCCTAATTTCCTAGATATATTTAAGCATTCCCTGTTCGGTATTTATTAATGTTTACGGATAATCTTTGGAATATGGTAACAGGTCGTTTGCGACATTTTGGTAAGGCGATAAAGGTTACTAGCTAGGACTTTAGCAGTGTACATGGATAAAGTCAAGAGTGTGCGCAATGCCATTTTTGTGCAAATTCTGGGATTTTTTTTTTAAGTGAAAATAGGTCGACGTGTACATGGATACCGTGTATGAGCAATTCTTAAAAACGCGGCAAGCAGTGGGCGATTCTGCACTCTTTCCCAATTTCGCACCTAATCTTCGTCATGATTAAGCACTTTTGTTCCATAAAAGTTCTAGTATAAGCGTAATTCGGCTAGCAAATTGTTGGAAAAAAATGTTGAGTAAAAAAAAAAAAAAAACATGCCTTTACTTTTTGAGAACAAAATGGAGTCCAAAAAAATCTAGCAGGTTTGGTCGCCAAGTTACCATAGTGCGAAGATTAACCTATTTATTAATGTTTACTTGTAAAATAAACCTCAGGCAGCTACAATTTCTTTGATTAAAAAACATTCGAGAAAAATATAAAAAATCTAAGCTGCAACTTATAGAATTTTTTTATATCATTGTACAGAAATTAAACCTCGGTGTTCAAGCCTTTTTATTATATATATTTTATATGATAAATTTCATTTGCTTTTTCTTAATAACTGAGAAATAAGAGTGTTTTAAAAATTATATTCTTGAACTTAAGGCATTAGCCAGACGATTAAAGGCAGATTTTACTTTTGCTTTTATTAAAAATTTTGTATTAAGAGCATTTTTTGTTTCACCTAACTGATATCATTTTATGAAGGTTTCGATTGATTAAAGGTTTGTAGGGATTCGAGAAACGTTTCGAATTTCAGTTGGAATTCAAGAAAATCTAAGATACGTCCTTTTTCTACATAGATAAAATAGGCTGTTAAGATTGAGAGTGACACATATCTTAGAAAAATGACGGTGCAGAGATAGACAGTTTAAGCAAAAATGAATCCCAAGAAAACAGGTTTGTTAAAAATTTTTTTTTTTTTTTTTTTTTTTTTTTTTTTTTTTTTTTGTTTTTTTTTGTTTTTTGTTTTTTGTTTTTCCGAATGAAAGTATTGTACAATATTAATTTACAGTTCAATACGGACGTACTGAGAGATTTATTCAGGCTAAAAATTCTGTAAGCCCACCTCCAGAAAAATAATACAAACTACAGTTATAAAATATATACCACAGCCCCCTATGTTTAACTTAAATATATACCACAACTATAGAAATCTTTTGTGCAAGAAACGTTCTATTATAGTGATTTATTGGATTTTTAAATTTTTTAAAATTTTTACGCACAATGGAATCTCCTGCATTGTTTAAGGGCTAAGGTGAGCCTATGAGTAGACCTTCATCAACTATGCTATATACTCAGATACGTTCAACGACATTTATTTCCTGTTTGGAGTTATAGACTTACATTATCTTTAAAGATACGAGATTTGGGCGATAAATGAAATGCTCGAGCACAAAAGTTTAAATTAAATTTGTATAATAATATGGCTAATGCTATGTTTCAATCTAACTTAAATAACAAACATTAGTCTAGCTAATTCAGTGAACGGAAGAATAAACACAAATGCCGTCGTGATTTATGTTTTACATAATATCAGCGTCACATAATATATTTCTGATGCCAGTCTCGCTTCTTTATAAATTTAAATTTACTTACTTTGATACAAAGTCTACGCAGTGAAGAGTGCATTTCTTCTTGCAAACTTCCCCACTCTCATCACACTCTGTTTCACACACTATATTACAAAGACCAGCTTGAGAAACGGCAATGAAGACAGTCAGTACCATGACGACCATCAGAAGACAAATCAAGCGGCTTTTCATCTTTTTAAAAGAAAATAGAGTTTAAGTTAGAACAGGCGAGGCAAAGTTTTGTATGCATCATTGATAACATTTTTAACAAGCGTATTTCATGCAGCATTCCTCGCACTGAGCAATTAAAGAAAAACTTTATATGCTATCCATATCTAAGATCTACGCTTCACCTCTAGACTGAAATGTTTTCTTGCAGTTATTCAAGGAGATGGTACATGATTATTGCGAAGCGAAATGTTCTGCAGAATACCTCCATGTGAGTTTAATACCCTTCTGTAAAGAAATTGAGAATTTTTACATTATGTCGAATTTCTGAATACCTAAAGGTCCGATTTTAATAAAATTTTGTATCAATATACATTTATATCAGAGAAAAAGGTATACCATTGTAGAGTCATTATGTTATTTTGAAGCAGAGAATGTGAAAATGTGCAATAGCCACCCCGGCACTCGAACACCTAGACTTTCGAGTGCGCTACCATTACACCACGAAGGCATGCTGGAAAGAGGGCGAAAAGTATCTTACATACTTCTCCTTTTAAAGGGTGACTGGGGATCAGGGCATGCATCGCCAAATCCTGGTGGTGATGAATTATTGTCCACCGCCTTTTACGTCAGGCGCCACACCACGACGGCATGCTGGATGGAAGAAGAAAATACGTTACGCCATTCAAAAGTCATTTTATGTGCTGGTGATTATCAGTACAGGTCGAAGTTCAAAATACAATTTGTGATACTGAAATGAAAATTAGTCTAATATGGAGTTGGTTCCCCTCTCACAGTCAGACAAGCGTGAAGGTGTACAGAGCAGGAGACATTGAGGAATTTCTGTGGCAGTTTATTTCCCTCCTTCAGGAATGCAGTTTTCTACACCTGGATAGTTCTTGGAAGATGAAACTGCCCTCTCAAGAGCATCCCAGACATGCTATATAGAGTAAGGTCAGAAGGTCTGGCTAGTCAATATATGTGACGAATATTCTCACCTTCCATGTAATCACCGGCCTGCTGAGCCCTATGTGGACGAGTGCCGACTGAGTGCCTCAAAATTCGAACATGGAGTTTTAAGATTTGATTTGTATACCTCATAGCAGTCACGGAACATTTGTCAAATACATGCAGGATTGCACGGAGCAGTCCAACCAAATGCCTTCTCCAACAATTACACCATCACCACCGTAATAATCATTTCCCTAATGAATTAGGGATGGTATCGTGTTCCAGGTTCTCTCCGCATACAGGTACCTGTCGAAAATCATGTGTAAAAAGCACGGTGCTTCACTGAAGTCTTGTCCAAAGCACGTATCATTTGCGCCATGCTGTATACATCGCGACACTCATATTCCAGTGGCATGAATGAACGCTGCTCGCGAGAGAGCCGTGAAGCTGTAGCAGTCCTGTGGCGCCGAGCTGAAAGTGCAAATCGCTGTTTCAAATCTTTGTCAATTTTGTTCAAGTTTTCTCGAAATGGATTGAGTGTCTTGAGGGTATTTCTGCAAACTGCATAATACACCGGGAGTTACATTGAGCTCTGTAACCACCTGCGCTTCTGATTGGCCTGCCTCCAGTCTGCCGATAATTCTAAACCCCTCGTATGCTTATCACAGCTGCTCACGTTTCACACGTTTATATACATCTCCACACGTTTATATATTCGACTCTGGATATTTGCAAAATTCTTCGGCGGCATAAGTAGTACCTTGGGTTCAATACATTTCGTAAAAATAGACATAATTTTCAAATTCTCTTAATTTTATACACGAAAGTACATAACGTATCATTTGGAATAACCTGCCCTCGGTCATGACTTTCGAATTTCGTAAGTAGATGGCCGAGACATGGATCAATCAAATCCGTGATTGATCAGTATTTCCTTCCGAAGGTTCTAATTGCTCGCTTTTGCAGCTGATCACGCTGTATTTCTGATGATGATGTTAATGATAACTATGATGTTAATTTTTTCAGTTTACGACATTATTAAAGTTTGATCATTGTTGAGTGGCGAATTAAAATCTAATTGCTTTGGCATTACATGGAGTTGTTTGCAAAAAGTTCTTAGAAGATATGATTACAAGGTAAGTTATTTCTACAGATATAAATGAGTATTGCGAAGAATTTGAAAACAGTTGTTTAGATTCTCGATTTCATTTTGTTCTAAAATTTGCATTCGCCTTTACGGCTGCGCAGTGCTGAAGAGGATGCAATGTAATGCTGCAGTAGAAGCAAAGACTGTATATCGCTTTGATGTGGGTGTCTGTAAGGTTATCGATTTCTCTGTAACCGTGGTTCTTTCCAGCGTGGTGGTTGCTGAAAGATGCACGGAATCCTCATGTGGAATACAGCTGTCGAAAGCAAGAAAGAGGATAGTTATCCTACAAAGTGTGCGTTTCAATTCCCGGATAGTACATATCTGATATAATGTATTCCCGGATAGTACATATCTGATATACTCTGAAGAGTGATTGAAAGGTTTAGGAGCAAATTATATTAATAAAGCATTCAAACACATTAGGAAACGTTCCAATTGAATGTTACTTTTATGACAGGCAAATTCTTTATTTAGATATTCGATTTACTTAGATATACTAGGCAATTCTTTACTTAGATATGGTACTTTAATATAATTGTGAAAATAATTAATATATTTTAATAGGTATAGGTTCTCTACTTAAAATGATCGTAAGTTAAATGATTCTAAAAGCATTAAGTATTTCTATTTTTCTAATTGTAGATTCTAGTATTACTGTTTTTCTTGTAAGTAATTTTTAATTCCAAACACTGCATAATTTGTAACTTTTTAAAATTACTGTATTATGTATTTGACAGCAGGGATTGACAACATTTTTCACCCATCCAGATCATTTAAAGGAACGACATTTTTCATGACCCCCTTGCATTTTTCTCATTAATATACAGTATACAACATAATCATAACATAAACAAGTGCACATAAATAACTTAGACACAACTATTAGATTAAGAATATCAGCAAAAGTTTTTAAAATGGTTTCTTTTTTGTATATTTTTGATTTTGTTTTCTTATGCTCTTGAATACAGCATTTTTTAGATTGCATTTATGTATTAAAAATTATTATTATTATTTAAAATTATTAAACAATTTTAGAATATTTTCCCCTTGTACTTATTTTTCGTGATTTCTTCCTTGCTATATGATACACCTGGAAAAAATGGGATTCTGATTATTCGCATCAATTATCTGTGATTATTCGACTATCGATCCTCAATCATTATTAACCCCCTTTAAAATTTCATTTTATTACATTTAAGCATTAAAGTATTACTTCTATGTTACTTTCTTATTTTACATATGTCTCCAATGATGATGAAATTTATGATAAAAATCAAAGGATTTTTATTATTTGCTGTTTAATGAAGAGCAGGTTTTGATAACTTAAATACTGAATGAGTGTATTATTCGAAGCTTCGCAATATGTACAAAACGGTTCCAAAAAATGTTTTACCAACATTAGATAGTGTCAGATCGAAAGAGAGGATTACTGTAATTTTCCATTATTATAGAAACTAATTGTTAGTGATAATACTTCGATATCATTAAAAATATCTGACGTTGACACCACATGACTTGTAAGGCCCATTAAATTATACGCATTTTTTGCTGTACTTCAGTTAAATTTATTTTCTCTAATTTCGTTAGAAATATATTTCTCATTCAATCAATTCAGTTCTCACTTCGCGGCAAGACAAAAGTACATAAAAACTCAAAATACCTTCATAAAAAATTGTAAAATATAATAAAACCTAAAACACCAAATACATTTAAACACAGGTTAGAAAACAAATTTTGTGATTAAAATTAAAGTTTCTGCCAAAAAAGAACCAATTTCGCCAACGGGCAGGAAAAGAAAATTTTCGGTACACAAATCTGAAAGCTAACTTTCGTCCCCACTGTGCAAACAGACATTGAATTGGGTGCACCAACTGATTTAATTAATTGTTATACTGAGAGTTTCAAATATAAAAAAAATGTCGGCCTGAAACAGAATAATTAATTATAATAAAGGAACATAATTCAAACACATTTAAAGCAAGAAATGCACAATTTACCATAGAATAATAAATAAATACAGAGCTCACCGAGCCGGGTTATAGGCAAGGTGAGAATATATCTTTTTTTTTTTTTTTTCCGAGAGCTTAAACTGCTTAAATAAAAATCTGATGTGTACACCACATGACTTCCTTGTACGGAAGATTAAATTATACGCATTTTTCTTACATTTCATTTAAACTTATTGAATTTAATTAAATCTATTTTGTTAATAGCTCATGAACCACAACAGAGTAAATGCACTCTTTAAAATTCATTATATTTATTTACCATAGCGACACTTTGGCTCTAGGCTCCCTTAACAACGTTAGATTTCATTCATTTTATAACTCAGAATGCACAAAAATTATATCATCTGAAAAACCATCTAATCGTATTGCCACATGTTCTATTCAAATACTATAATAAAGCTAGAACGATGTATAAAGAAATTAAGGAAACAAAACAAAAAAGAAACTTTTCACAGCGATTGAGTACTCTCATTCAATTAATTCAGTTTTCACTTCGCGACAATGAAAAAAATACCTAAAACCAAAATATCTGTATAAAAATTACGAGTAAATCTTAAACAGTATTTCCTCGAAAAACTTCGAGAAAGGATAAGCATGATTTAATTCGCAATATAAATGAGGCGTTATCTTTATTGTTGCGAAGCTAAGTTTCTCTAGATTGGCACAATCCACTATTCTGCTGTTTCAAATGTAACAAGCAATGGCCGCCATCAAAAAAATTATTAGGCTTAGCGGCACTTAAACAACTCTAAAATTGTTGATAATTTTTAAAAATATTGCTTACAGATTTCTAAAGGCTAAAACCTTAACCGGAAGATAAGAACAACATAATACAATCATTTTTAAGCAAAAAATTCAATTTACAAACATATAAGAGTAAAGAAACTGAGATCACTGAGCCGGGTAACAGAGTGGATATCTATATAAATATATTTTTATACGTTTGGTGCGGCCGATTGCAACCAAAATTAGAGGTGCACATCTACATGTTATAGGAATTCTATATACAAAATGTCAACGTTCTGAGGCTACTCGATTTTGAGTTATGCGAGATACGTACGTACGTACATACGTTCGTACAGACGCCACAAAAGTTTCTCTTCAGAATTCATTTTGAAGCAGTTTTATAATTTTTTTGGAGGAAAAGAGTCTTTTATTCTGTCCTTACGTACAGATATCCGCAACATCGTTCAATTCATTCTATAGCGGTCAAAATGGATATTTTCATTAAAATATGCTGCCTGAAACTTTTCGCGATTACATACTTCCTTTTTACTTCGTACAAGGAAGTAAAAAGTATGTGAAATTTATTTTTCAGACGAAATGTTAATATCCAGCTCAGTAAGTATACTTCAAGTTTACAATATTGGACTAAAAATGTCACCAATTTTCCGTCTCATGTCCTTCTCCTTACTAGGATAACATCTCAGTTCGGCGTCCGCTTCTCCTAAGCATCTATCAAGAACATCGCACATCATCAACTAGTGCCCTCATTGTAAATTTGACTTTTTTCATTCAAAAACTCTTATGCATACTAGGACTGTATTGTTTGTTTTACCGCTTGTTTTTCATGCAATGTGAAACAGAACTATTATGCATACTAGGACTGTGAGACGACAGAGTCATCTGGAATACCCTGTGCATAAACGTACGGCTAAAACACAAAGCTTATAGTATAAAAATTAAATATTAATTAAAGTGTTGATTTAAATTATTGGATGCATTATTTTTATCTATATCAATTGACATAGTGTAAAAGGGAACTGATTATGTTATAAGGTATTTTCTCCCTCCTCTCAGCGAGCTAAATTCGAGGTGTGCGAACTAAATTCGAGGTGTAGCACACTCGGTGTGTATTCGAAAGATCCAGGTTAGAGTCCCGTTGAGGGCATTGCTTATTTTCCGTGTTTCCTGTTTCAAAATAACCTAATAACTCTACAATGTATACTAATAGCGCATAGACTGCTATGAAAATTATTTTAGTTTCATCTGTTTAGATTTTTATCTAGATATATATTGTCTAGTTTGATTTTAAATAAATGTTATAAGGTACTTTCTCCTCCTCTCAGCGAGAGGTGTGCGAACTAATTCGAGGTAGCACACTCGGTGTGTATTCGAAAGATCCAGGTTAGAGTCCCGTTGAGGGCATTGCTTATTTTCCGTGTTTCCTGTTTCAAAATAACCTAATGACTCTACAATGTATACTAATAGCGCATAGACTGCTATGTAAATTATTTTAGTTTCATCTGTTTAGATTTTTATTAGATATATATTGTCTAGTTTGATTTTAAATAAATGTTATAAGGTATTTTCTCCCTCCTCTCAGCGAGCTAAATTCGAGGTGTGCGAACTAAATTCGAGGTGTAGCACACTCGGTGTGTATTCGAAAGATCCAGGTTAGAGTCCCGTTGAGGGCATTGCTTATTTTCCGTGTTTCCTGTTTCAAAATAACCTAATGACTCTACAATGTATACTAATAGCGCGTAGACTGCTATGAAAATTATTTTAGTTTCATCTGTTTAGATTTTTATCTAGATATATATTGTCTAGTTTGATTTTAAATAAATGTTATAAGGTATTTTCTCCCTCCTCTCAGCGAGCTAAATTCGAGGTGTGCGAGCTAAATTCGAGGTGTAGCACACTCGGTGTGTATTCGAAAGATCCAGGTTAGAGTCCCGTAGAGGGCATTGCTTATTTTCCGTGTTTCCTGTTTCAAAATAACCTAATGACTCTACAATGTATACTAATAGCGCATAGACTACTATGAAAATTATTTTAGTTTCATCTGTTTAGATTTTTATCTAGATATATATTGTCTAGTTTGATTTTAAATAAATTTAGACCGTAGCCGCCGCTAATTAAACTTACCGGTTAATAAACTCAGCCAATTAATTACGCTAAAATTTCCAGAAAACAAACCGTATACATAGTACTTATTAATAGCAAAACCACCACTTACAAAGCGATGTTATACATACCTTTTCAGATTAGAAATTGTAAATATGTTTGTACTTAAACACTTGCTCTTTCCACACTTGATAAATTCACAATAAACGCAACATATATAGGCTCTTCATTATCATCTCAGAATATCTCTTTTTTAACAGGTGTCTTCAGAGACAATTGATGAGACGTCCACCGATATCATAAACTCAAGGAGCAAGAAGTATAAAGTCTCTAAAATTGAATGAACATTTTAAAGAAAAAATTGCATTCTTATCTTTCATTGGAAAAATGAAATTCGAAATCTTTGTAGAAATCTTAGGAGAAAATTAACGTTAATTAAAATGCACTTAATTTTAATATGAAACTTTAAGCTAAACTATGGTCTTGAAATTGGGACGTAACAGTATAATTATTATTACAGAACACGAATATTATTTATATTTTCAGAACTATAAATCGTTATATATCATTAGAACATTATCATGTGGGAATAATATTGTTTTAAACTCATGCAAATAAATTTTCTAATATTAAATCTTTACCAGTTCCGTAGAGAAAATCACAATTTGGCATTTTTTATTTGTCACAAACACGTTTTATAGTACTCTTTTTTACATTTTATTTCTTTTGGGAGAAAGAGAGAGGAAGTTAAAGAAATTTATTAGTGTTATAAAAAAATTTCAATGCAATTGCATTGTTATTACTGATATTCTAGAAAACTGAAATGTGAGGTGTATAGTATAAATGAATTCACATTCGAAAATGTGTGCGAGCTAAATGTGAATATTTCTTTTTCCACCTAACAATTAGGCTGTATAACTGTTATACGGAAAATGACTGTATGTAACGAAGTCTTCCTGTACAAAAAGCGTTTCCGTTTCGGAAACATAAAATATCTAATATTCATTAGCCATGGAAAAAGCTATACTTAATACAACTGGCAAATTATCAGCTTTCATCGCTTCTGTCATTCGACGTGGCATAATATGCTTAATTTATCTCTCAATATCAAATTAATCATTGCTTAATCATCTTTGCTTAATTATCCAGTTTAAGAGAAAAACACTTATTTCCTAGTAATTCATATTTTTGCGTGTGTGTGATATCTGTGATGCAATTTTTTATGTATTGAACTTATTTTTAGAAATTTTTGAATAATTAGTATAACTAATGAAACATAATTCTAGCAGCATATATTACATAGCTCAGAATAATGATTTGAAAGATCTCGAATAAATGTGGAATGAAAATTTTTTGCCTCTTCGCACTTTAACGAGGTAAAAGCTGAAATTTCAATGTTTTCCACTGCAAAAGTAGTTTCTAGTACTCTAGATATTTTGTAGCATCTTCCTCTACTCCTCTTCCGTCAGTTGTAAAATATGATAGTTTAATGATTGATTAAACATTAAGTTTTGTCATATACTTTCTTTAATCTTGATTTAATTATTTTAAACGGGACAGCATAAATATTTTTTTAATTACATGGAAAATTAATTTTCTAATATACAAATAAGAATAAAATATTTATTGTATATATTTGCTTTATATTATTTTATTTTATTGTTTATTTATTGTATAATCGTGGTACATATGAAGTATGACAAAATTGAACTGGAATTTAATTTTATAAACCTTTGACTTATAAAAGAATACAATTTTTCTTTGTTTGACTTCTAAATCTTAAGTATTAACAGCGAAATCAGTTTTTAATATTTAGGATTTAAAATTTAATTGTTTCAGTTTTTAAAAGTTTATTCCTTAATTTTGAATGTATGAATTTACTTTTAAAATGTGTTTATGTATTTCTTAATACTATTATGAATTTAATACACAGATATATTATTTTAGTGCAGTTATATGTCAGAATGCTGTATTTTTCTGTATAATGTAATATGAAAATCTAGAGAGACGAAACTTGCCAAAAAAGTAACAATACAGGGGCAAAGCCTACTTAACATTGAATAAATGGTTATCTCACTAATATGGCAAAGTATTGCCAAGAAAACAACGGTTTTGGCAACTAATTTTGTCGCCAAATTTAGCAAGAACTCGCCAAGCTTGAAGACCATTTGGCGACATTTTATTTCTGTCCCTGTATCATCATAATAGATATTGTAATTGGCCACTATGTTAGCTGTAGCCGTAATCTCACCCTCGTGCTTTCCAGTGATTCCGAGAATCAGAAAGTACTAGAAATATCTCGGCGACCAGGTAAAAAGTATATAACACCGGAGCGAGCATCCGCTCTCAGTAATTTGTTCAACGTGTGTTCGGAGTACTGAGATCTCTCTGACTTAGCGTCGCTCTTTGGATGTAGTTTGGATGTTGTCTTAAACGTTCTTAGCAGTTTGAAATGAAAATACTGATTGTACTCTGTGGTACTGTGAAGAGTTGTACGACTGTTTTTGTGGAAAGTTCGAGAACTGTGAAGTGCTTCTTTCGATAAAATAAATTTTATCTAGCTATCATCGGTTGTGTGGGCATTCAGTCTTCACGAACGCATAAGCACCCAACAATACTGTAAACAAATATTAAATAAAGCGAGGTTAGTTAATGTTACTTCAATATGCAAAGCACACAAGGGCTGTCTCGTTTAAGGAAATGGATACCTCCGTAGAGATCTGTCAGAGGGAAAGCAGTTCGTATTCATGGTCACAGATAGGAAACTCCACTAAAGCCATCCATGCATCAGGCATTCAGGAAGTTGAAGCAAATTGTGTATGTTAAATATTTAAAATTTTGTGTGCTGAAAACACATATCACAAATAATTTTTCTTCCTGAAAATTAAATCTCGAAAAAAAGTCTAAAAAAGGATATTTTTAATATTTTGATTTATAATAAACGAAAATATTTATTTTTTTATCTGAAGACTATTCATGAACACCTTTATGCAAATGTACTTCATTCCAATTTTAACTTGCACTATTTTGGGAAAATACTTGTGCAACTGCCTATTTTTGAAGCTTAAAAAAGAATCACATTTAGGGTATTTACATTTATTTAGTCAAGTACCCAGTGTATTTACTTGTAAAATTGATTAGGAAAATTTGAAAGTGTAAAGAATTAAAATCGGCAGCCTTTGTAATTTGGTCAAGTTTAAGTTTTCATTCTCTAAATCAACGAACAATTTCTCACTCAAACTGTTTCTCTTCAGGAAGTTTTAGGAATGTTCATCGAAAATCAAATTAGATGATGTGGAAGACTAATTTTGAGTTTGATATTCTTTCGAGAAAAATCCTAGTAGAAGGCACATATCTTAATGCAAGATGCAATATAGCAGTAAAAAAAAAAAAAAAAAAAAACTACTCCTATCAATAGTTACTATTTTCACCCTAATCATTCATCCAAATGACTTTTAATTGACTTTTTAAAATTTTGCTTTACTTATTTGCTTATTAGTTCAAAGAGGCAATTTGCCCAGAAGGGCTATTAGTTTCGCTTTGGCATTTTCCTTTGGTTCACTATAAATGGCGAATCACTTTTTAAATTGTTGCCACCAAATATGAGAGCCCTGTATTATACTTAAATAAATTAAACAATGAAGAATCTGCAAAAACCTTTGTATGTTTCTCGCACTGTAATAAAACAATGGTACTTAGAGCCATCCAGTTTTGAATAACGTTTGTCTCCACCCGAATACGGGCGTCTGGAAGTCCAAATTTGGAATTTGATTTATTATCTATTTCAATTTGTAAGTATTATGAGTTTTTGATTAAGAAACTGAAATGATTTAAGCCGAATAGCAAAACTGCGAAACAAACATTTTTAATCTCTTCGGCGTTCTGTAATCGGAATTCTAAAGATATGCTCATTTTAAAATTATTTTGTGATATTGCTGTTGAGTTGAATTTTAAGGTTTAAGTGCGAAGAACATTATATTTAATAAATAAAGTAACACACAAAAAGTTGAAGGAACGCCTTTTTGAGCGTAATATAAAATCTGAAAGCTTTAAACCTCTTGGTAAAAATTTGTGAAACACAAGCAGCTGAAATTAGAGTTAACAACAAAAAAACAAAGCTTTTTAACATAGTTTCGTGTGCATACAATCACACTGTCTTCATTAATTTCTATATGTTTTCTGTCGCCCAGTCATTTAAAAATTAATTTGGATTTAGGAAAATATAATTTTCTAATTATTTTCAATTCTGCAAACGGATAATTGAAAACATTCACACCTATTTAGTTCGTATAAATCTTTGTCAATTTTGTGAGATGTGTAAGTAATATTTCAGTGAAATAACAAAACAAGGTTGTGGGAAACAAATTAAAATTTTTATTTGTTAAATTTTCTTGCAAATTTAGTTGTAACAAAAAACATCGCAAAATTCGTAATTAGTCCATTGAAATTTTTCTTCAGTTATCAAAAAACAGGTCTTCATTTGGCCATCAACAAACGCAAGTCACTTCGGTTTTACCTATAAATAAATAAGAAGAATTTTAGGGGAAGTCTGAATCAGAATATATCGTCCTTATGTAACAGTAAAAGGAGGTTGCTAGGAAACGATATTTTAGGGTATTAAAAAATTCTTATATATTTTAAACCAATAATCGTAACATTCATACAATTGCAACCTAACACATGCAGATGGATTGGATTGGATTGGATAATTCAATTATGGCAAAGCACACGAGGGCTATCTGCCTAAAGGGAGGGATGTCTTCGTGGAGGACATTCTAAGGGAAACTGGCTCGTATATACATTACACATGGGGAAAACCACGAAAACGCCCATGCAGGCAGCCCGTTCGCGGGTTTCGAACCTCGGACCAAACTACCAATGTTCAGCGTCTTTACCTAACAAACGTAGAAGAGATGATTAAGATTGAATAAAATTATAATTTTTGAATTCTAAAAGAATGATAATGCAACGGAAGGAAGATATAGGTTCTGTGTTTAAGATTTATGCTTCGGGCTGAATGTTGACTGAATTTAAAATAGGAAAAAGAACTCGAAAATCTTTCATCACTCAAAATCCCTTGAAAATAAGTTCAAGTTAAGAAATATAAAATATATTCGTCACAATAATATTGTAAACTCAAATATCATCATGCCTATGCTATTAAGTACATGTCTGTGGTGAAGGTATTATTTTGTACACTTTTTTTTTTTTTTTTTTTTTTTTTTACTTTTAGTAATTTCACCACAGGATTGTTTTAAAAAGGACGGGAAAATCATTTCCAGAGAGGCTAATATAAAAAAGTATTTGTACATGCAGTGTTTAGCTTTCATATTGCATTGCGAAGGCTTCATAAGGTTTGGTTTATGTTTGGTTATGTTGGTAAAGCACTCAAGAGCTATCTGCCTAAAGAGAGGTATGCCTTCGTGGAGCATTTTCTATAGGAAACTGGCTCGCAAACACGTTACTTATAAAGAAAATCAGGAAAACGCTCATGCAGCCAGCCCGTTTGCCGTGATTCGAGCCCTAAACCGAGCTACCAGTATTCAGCAAGTTAACAGCTCTGCTACTGGTGAACTGTAGGATATGAAAAGCAGTAAATTCTACACCTGCTTCAAGACAAAGATGAATATATACTCAAAGAATTTTTAAATATCTGTCTGGTAGGTATTTATAAAAACATGTATACAACATATTCAAACACGTTCTTATAAACTGCATTTCTTCCTATATAAATCTTACACGACCAGTTTAAACATGAAATTTTCAAAATCAGGTACCTAATTTTTGGAAAAAAAATTATTATCGCGGGTAGGAAAAAAATGAAAACATACAATCTTTCATTTAAAACTGTTCTTGTTAGCAAAATAACCAATTAGTAAAACTCTAGTATAATTTAAAATAATATAGTCGACGCACTTATAATGACCACTAATTATAATGACCGTTCCATTGCATTCCAGAAAACATTTCTCAAATAGCGAGAACACCTATTCGTAAATTGTCATAATCTACTTATTAAGAGATTACTCATTAAACTTTCTTTCTTTAATGCAAAATTGTTATAGTGGAGACCTGGTAGCATAATAACTTTCCATTTCTTACGTCTAAACGCCTAATTCCTGTTGGCTCTTTTACACTTATTGTGCGTGAAAGGAATGTAATACCTGTGTCTCACTTCATACTCGCAGAAAACTGCATATAAAATCCTATCATGAGAAGTAAGTCGTGCACCAGGACACGGTGAAGTACGACTGTCTCTACGCATAATACGGTCTTCGGTATTCAACAACGATTCTAATTTTTTTTTCATTCAAATGAACCTCTTTCACATAGCATGTGGTGCAGATACAATTAGAACTAGGCAGGACGCTACAATTTGTTCACCATTCGGTCGGACAGGTACAAATGCATCTCATGAACTGTGCATTTCCACCACAGTTTTGATGGAGAATATCACAAGGACATACACAAAGGTCTCCCTCCCCAGACCACTCGAGAACACTTTCGGTATTCTAAATGTCCGCATGACGTCCAGACAGTATACACATACAAACATTTCTTTCCTCTCTAGGTCTCGAGCATAGACCTAATGATACGACGTCCAGCATCGCTAACCTCTGTACTGATCAAGGCGACAGCCTCTGGTAGAAATGTCCGAACATGTTATGTTTGTGCACTCTTCCTGGAAATCGTTCAAAACACAATAATGTTGTCTCATTAAACTACACTGCTCTGTTTCATAGGAAAAGGTGCATATGATTCCTTCCGCAATCAAGTTTCGACGGCTTTCCAGTATGGATAATATGAGCAGGTCTTGCTGGTACATCAAGGCATCATGCTCACTAAGTTGTACTCAGCAGTGGGTACTCTGTTTTGTCTCGGCGATGCTTTATATGCAGTCATCTTGTCGGGCCAAGTAGGCCTGAATATTACAGCCGGTGATAAGGCTACTGAAGCTTTGAAACCGGATAATTAATTGCCAATGTTTATGAGTCCTTTCTACACTGGAATAACAATGAATAGTTATTTCAAAGTTAGCTTCTCAAATGATTACGTACCGTGCCGCCCAACTGATTTGCAGCTAAATAGGATTCCTTAGCCCTAACTGACGCTCCTGGAAATATGTTCATATACGAATATGATTTCTTATCAACCTCAGATTTGGGAGTGGAGTTTTGAATCCCACTTTATACAAATTGACATTTTTTTAAAACTGTGTCCTATTTTCAGTACATATCTCAGAATGTTTCAGTATCATTGCATGTTACATTTATAGTTTCACTATTTTCGGCTCTGTATAAATTCGAGTAAGTGTTCCGAAAATTTCCCTCAGAACGAAACTAATGGGAGTTTCATACAAATCTGACTTCTATCTATTCAGAAGACGTTTTTAAAGTACGAGATTATTAAGAAATGTTAAATAAAAAGGATATTTAAATCGTTACGTTTTGAACTCTGAGTATTGCTTAAAAATATGTATTACATACCTTCTTCTTTAATACGGAACTGTGGGGGGTGTCCTGTAATATGAAATAATTGATTAAGTAGCATGCCAAAGAAGCAGAACTTAGAATTAAAAATTTACATTTACATGAAATAAACTCTAATACTATTCTCAAATGATATTCTCACGGCCAATGTAATTTTTAGAGTATTTTCAGCAATAATATATTTAAGTTTAAAATACCTTAAAAAGGGATATTTACAGTGAAATATAAGTACATGAATGACCTTCCTACATGAGGAAAAGTGTAAAATTTCATGTTAATGCGAAATGTCAAATGGGAAATAAAAATATTTTCTATAAATAAAATATTCTTGAGTGTGCGAACAACGGGAATTATTTAAAGTAGCATTGAACTTAGCGTCAAGTGGACCTGTGTAATTCCTGCAATAAACAAAAATTGCATGTAAGTTTTAAATCTAAAAGGAAAATTTAGAACTGAAATTTGTATGCGCACTGCATAAAGCCATAAAGCTTGTAGCTGATATAACATTTCATTTACATGTCATGAAAAATTGATACAGTTTTCTTAAAAGACCATTTAACAAATGTCTTCTGGAAACGAACGTCAATGATTTATAAGTATTATATATCGTTCAAAATAATGGATCCCATAAATTACCCATCATTTTTGATCTTAAATATTAAATGAATTTCTATAACGAACTCTAACATTAAGTTTTTGAATAAAAAGGGAAGATATAAAAACTGATCAGACCCATTAAACACAAAATTAGTCTTATTACTTAACTTTCCAAGAAAGTAGAAGTTTCTAAGCAGAAAGTTCTTGATATTATCCGCAGGAAATTGTGTCTCATTTATTATCGGAAGTATATGAGAAGATGCAGTTATTACAATTAAGCATTTTATTTGTTCAATTCAAAGCTGATTCAAAGCTTATCGAAAACACAAATTGCAAAGGAATAGTGTTTATTTGTAAGTGAGAAATGTAAAATGTGTAATGCAATGCTTTAAAATTGTAAAGAAATGTTGTAACATTTGTAATGCAATGCTTTAAAATTGTTAAGAAATGTTGTAACATCTGTAATGCTTTTCGCTTCATAAAAACCGATTTCATATATTTCGTTTGACTCTCTAAACTAAAATTAAATGATTTTTTGCTGCAGATTTAATATTATGTCTTCATATTGGTTTCTGAAACTACCCTTTAAAATAAATAACGAAATTATGTATGTTTTTTGAAACATTTTCAGTGAGGGAGAGGGATACATAAAAAAAATCGATCCTCAAAAACATTACTGATTATCATAAAAAATATCGCAGACGGAAACATTAGTTACACTAATTGCTGAGAAACATCAAACATCTAAGAATTGCGAGATGCCAAGTAGAATACACAATATATTGATAGTTATGTCAACCTACAAACAAAATTTCGTAGACTCCGAATGGGAATGTCATATACAAACGACAGAGCTGTTATAAAGCAGAAGTAAATGGCATAAAAGCACTGGCACTGGCTCGTCAATATCTCGATTCTTATTGGTCCGAATTTATGTGGAGACCTTTACACAAAAAACTGAAATTTTCCGTGCATTGCTGGAAGTGATTAGAGATTTTACACCTCTCTTTTAATTTCAATTATGTTTGAGCGTTTTATTTAAATTTTATAAATTGTTATAAAAAGTGTAATATATGAAATTAAATTTTCATTTAAATAAAAATAATATTCTTAGATAATTATTTACTATTATGTTTCCTTCTCAGATGTAATATAAGAAATCAACCTTGTATTTAAATTAAAATAATCTACTTGGATAGCTATTTATTATTATGCCTCCTTCTTAGCGTTTGGGTTAACTTAAGAATTTCTGGAATCTTTGGCATAAACAGTACTTTAGCAGTTTTTTATGGTCCCGATAACGGAATTATACCTCAATAGCTTGAAATTAAAAATTTCTTAATCAATTTAATAAGTAAATGTTCTTTTGATGTCCTTTTCCCTTAATTTAATTTAAATATGAAGATATATTTTAAAGTGCTTTTTTAAATGGATAGTATAAGACTACGAATTACAAGTGTTATTTAAAAAACCATTCTGTATTCTCAGATTATACCTCATATAGCACATCTAAAATTCTTACTGTAACAATTAATATTTAAATGGAAGAACCTGAAGTGGAAAGAGTTTTAAGATCGAAATTTTATTTATATTTATGTCACATAACCCTGTTCTAGTGGTGTCACTGTTTCTTTAATGATTAATGTTGTTTGAAAGAAATACTTTAGTTTTACGAATTAAACAATTCTTCAAAAATTCCTCTAAGTATTTTTTCCTTCCATTGTAATTATTACTAATTTACGAGTAAGTTCAATTTATTTAGAAATTGTATTACCTACCAGGATGCATGGTGTGGGGTTGTATGGGATTTCCTGCAATGACAAATATTGGTTTATTAGTAAACTGCAAAAAATGGTGCAAGCACAGTTTAAAATTAAAAATTTCCAACAGAAGAAATGATTTATTATTTTTTCATTGCACAAAAAATTAGCTGCTGCGTAAGAATGCATCCTTTCAAAAGTTAAAACCTCTTTAAAAACACGTGGAAAATGCTATTTCATTTAACATCTAATGGATTAAATGGGATCTTGCTACTAATACATCCAAGTAAATATTGTGTTATGACGTTTTTTAAGTGTATGAATTACATATCTTTTATCTAAAAAAATATTTACAGTTAAAACTTTATTAGGCTTCCTACTCACGCTTTTTTTAGTTTAAAAAAATGTTCATTAAAGTTAAATTATTAACGCAAAAGTCTTTTCAACTCGAAATATGATTTTGCATTAATTCAATTGATGTGTTTTTACGGTAAATGTGTTGTTTCACTTTTCATTCAAGTGGTTTGTTATTCTTCATAATCTAATATATTAATCTTTATTTTTATGTTACGTATTAGCAAACTAAGCTATTTAAAATAACCGATACAGCCCTTAAGAGTATTTTTTGCGCTTTATAAACCGATTGATTCAAATAAGTTTGACTGAATTCACCACATATCTAATTAAAAAAGTTAAATAATTTTATATAATTCCATTATAATTATTTTTTACTTTTAATTTATAAAAAAGATACATAGCGTTTCATCTAGTATCCTAAAAAATGTTTTACTGTTACTGGGAAAAACGGTTTTGCGTATCATAAAGTAGTATCGCAGAAGGAAGCATTATTATACTGATTGCTGTGTCAAATATACCTTTCCAGTGGTGTCACTGTTTTTTAATGATGAATGTGTTTTGAAAGGAATAGTTTAGTTTGACGATTAAACAATAATTCAAAAATTCCTTTGAGTATTTTTTTATTTACTTTGTAATGGTTACTAATTTATAAGTGCGATTTACTTAGAAAATGAATTACCTACCTGACTGCATGGTGTGGGTCTGTGTAGGATTTCCTGCAATCACAAATATTGGTTTATTAGTAAACTGCAAAAAAAAGATGCAAGCACAGCTTAAAATTAAAAACTTCCAACAGAAGAAATCATTTATTATTTCGTTGCACAATAAACTAGCTACTGCCAAAGAATGCATCCTTTCAAAATTTAAAATCCCTTTAAAAACACCTGGAAAATTCAATTTCATTTACCATCTAAAGGATCAAATGAGATCTTACTACTACAGTCAAATAAACATTGTGTTATGACATTTTTTAATTGTATCAATTAAATATCCTTTTGGAAATCAGTCTTTTCAAGTATTTTACTTGGAAAGAGGGATTATTTGATTATTAAATGTACCGATTATGACTGCAAAATAACATCCTCATGAAAGTATGTAGGAAAACTCAATGTAAGCTATGAAGGCTTAGTGCTAGCAGTCGAAATATTAACTTAATCGCATCTTATTCATGTTATGCGATTTTTATTTATAAATGCAATTCAAAATTTTATTTATTTGAATTTTTAATTGGAAGAACTGGTTTCTAACTGTTTTAAAAGCGAATAATAATTATGATACTCACTGTTAAGTTTATCTATGAACATGAGAGTGCACACTAATACTAGTACGTTTAGCCGAAAATACCTTTAATATTTGAAATTATACTACGAACTCAAGAAATGAAATTAAACTGAGCATATGTATTATTATTGTTGTTGTTGTTAGAGATTTTTTCGCCCCTTTGGTTTCAGAACAGATAAAGAACGGAACTTGTACATATTTCTCCAAACTGATTCGAGCTTATTAAAGTAGCTGTTCCTGTTTTTAAAATCAATAATTTTTATTCAGTTTTATATAGATTGCTTATTATTTGTGTTTGCAAGAAGGAAGCTTAAGAGTGCTGTTATCTGCTACATAGATGCCACTCAATTCAATATAGTTAGGGATTTATTAATAATATGAATTATTTAAGTGAATGCATAACTTCCTATTCTCCTTCATGTTGAACTATGTAAGCATTTTTGCAATGAAAAATTCATATTTAAAGAAAAAAGTTGCAACACAAAATAAAGACAAATTAAACATACTTTTTTTTCTAAAAACAGAACTGCCTGTGATATCACTGTCATTTCAAAGTGCGGATTAAATTATAAATGTCACAGGCATATGGATATTTTAGTTAAATCTTTATGAAAGAAAATCAAGATTAAAATAGTTATTTACGACAAGTTTCAAGCCCTTTGATCTACGAATGAAAATGATATATGACTTACTTGAAGTCTTCTTTTACTGTGGAAAATTTTCTCCTGCAATAAAAAATTCGTGTAAATAGAAATTCTATGAAAGTTAGAGCATAAGAACTTAGAAATAAAAGTGTATTTCAGTTATATTAAACAAAATTTGCTCCTTTTGATGTACGTACACCGAATACTAAAAAAATGTTAAAAGTTAGTTCAAATTATATTACAGTACTTGAAAATGTCATTAAATTTATTATTCCTTTAATAAATCTTTCGAAAGTTCATCCTTTTACAAAAGGCAGGAATCGATTAAATTTCCAGAATACATACCAAAATCCTTCATGAGGGCCTGTAAATTCCCTATAATAAAAGATAAAAATATTATAACCGATCGATTCAAATAAATTTGACTGAATTCGTGACATGTCTAATTAAAAAAGTTAAATATTTTTATACAATTCCATTATATATTTTTTTTTACTTTTAATGATGAATGCTGTTTGAAAGGAATAGTTTAGTTTTACTATTAAACAATTCTTCGAAAATTCCTTTGAGTATTTTTTTACTTCATTGTAATCTTTACTAATTTATGAGTAAGTGCAATTTACTTAGAAAATATATTACCTACCTGAATGCATGGTGTGGGTCTGTGTGGGATTTCCTGCAATGACAAATATTGGTTTATTAGTAAACTGCAAAAAAAGGTGCAAAAACAGTTTAAAATTAAAAATTTCCAACAGAAGAAATCATTTATTATTTTTTCGTTGCACAATAAACTAGCTACTGCCTAAGAAGGCATCCTTTCAAAATTTAAAACCAATTTAAAAACACCTGGAAAATTCAATTTCATTGCCATCTAAAGGCTCAAATGAGATCTTACTACTACAGTCAAATAAACATTGTGTTATGACATTTTTTAATTGTATCAATTACATATCCTTTTGCAAATAAGTCTTTTCAAGTATTTTACTTGGAAAGAGTGATTATTTTATTATTAAATGTACAGATTCTGACTGCAAAATAACATCCTCATGAAAGTATGTAGGAAAACTCAATGTAAGCTATGAAGGCTTAGTGCTAGCAGTCGAAATATTAACTTAATCGCATCTTATTCCTGTTATGCTATTTTTAATTATAAATACAATTCAAAACTTAATTTATTTGAATTTTTAATTGGAAGAACTGGTTTCTAACTGTATTTAAAAGCGAATAATAATTATGATAATCACTGTTAAGCTATGAACATGAGAGTGCACACTAATACTAGTACGTTTCCTCGAAAATACCTTTAGAATTTGAAATCATACTACGAACTCAAGAAAGTAAATTAAACTGAGCATATGTATTATTATTGTTATTGTTGTTAGAGTTTTTTTCGGCCCTTTGGTTTCAGAACAGATAAAGAACAGTACTTGTACATATTTCTCCAAACTGATTCGAGCTTATTAAAGTAGCTATTCCTATGAGGTCACTGTCATTTCAAAGTACGAATTAAATTATAAATACCACAGCCATATAGATAATTAAATTAAATCTTTATTTAAGAAAAACAACATTAAAATGGTTATTTAAAACAAATTTCAAGTCCTTTGATCTACGAATGAAAATAATATATGACTTACTCGAAGTCTTCTTTTACTGTGGAAAGTTTTCTCCTGCAATAAAAAATTCGTGTAAATAGAAATTCTATGAAAGTTAGAGCATAAGAACTTGGAAATAAAAGTGTATTTTATTTATATTAAACAAAATTTGCTACTTTTGAATAACGATATTATTAATATGAACACCAAATACTAAGAAAAAGTTAAAAGTTAGTTCAAATTATATTAGATTATTTTTAAAATGTCATTAAATGTTATTATTCTTTTAATGGATCGTTTTGAATGTTCATCATTTTACGAAATGCAGGAATTGATTAAATTTACAGAATACAAACCAAAATCCTTCGTAAGGGCCTGTAAAGTTCCTGTAATAAAAGACAACAGTTTATAAGGTAAATGAGAGACAAAAAAATACATGAAATTTAAAGTAAAAAAAAAAAAAATTATTCACAATTAAGATTTATTAGGCTTCCTACTCACGCTTTTTTTATTTTAAACAAAAAATATTAGAGCTCTTTAAAGTTAAATTATTAACCCAAAAGTTTCTTCAACTCGAAATATGATTTCGCATTGATTCACTTCATATGTTTTTATAATAAATTCGTTGTTTCGCTTTTTATTCGAGTCAGTTGTTATTCGCCATAATATAATATACAGTGTCTTACAAAATTGATGGGTTACAAAATTGTGCTTTACAAAAGGAAACTGTAATAAAATAAATTAAAAAAACATGTAAAAATATTTTGTGGGTGTGTTTCATACTTAAATTTAGTAAAAATTATTACATAGCATACATTTTCTCAAAATATTAAAATATTAATTTAATAAAAATAAAATTGTTTAGAACGGAGCAAAAAATGGCTCACATAAGTGATGTGACACCATTAGATACTACTACGTACTACAATAAAAATATTTTTGAATTTAATAATTTTTTTTATTTTTACTCAAAAGCAATTGGCAATAATTTATAAAATCGTCTGCAATATTTCTCTCCAGTTTATTTTGGAATTTTTGTGTTTTGTAGCTCTGTGCAGCCATGAATTCTAAAGGAAAAGAATCTTTGCTTGAAATTCGAAAATTAGTTATTAATTTTCATATTGAACGTGGAAAATCTATTAGAGAAACTACTGAAACAGTTAACTTGAGCCATTCAACAGTTTTCAATGGCCTGGCCGACCATCAAAGCTATCTAATGGAATAAAGCGAATTATCGTTCGAAATATTTAAAAAAATTCCAAGAATGAGTACTCCTAAATTTGCTGATGATGTACAAGCATTATATGGAGTAATTGTTAATCTTGAGACTATTAGAAGAGTAATTCGATCAGCTGGATATCACGGTAGAGCAGCCAGGAAAAAATTCTTCGTAAGTGAAGAGAATAGAAAACTCAGACTGGCTTTCGCGAAATCCAACATAAATAAGAATTCTGATTACTGGAACGAAGTTATATTTGCTGATGATAGTAAATTTAATATATTTGGTTCTGACGGTAGAATCTTGGTGCGGAGAAAACCCAGGGGAGAATTTCGCAAGCAGAACTTGGTGCCAACAGTAAAACATGGTGGAGGAGGAGTTATGGTATCGGGGTGTATGTCGTCTGGAGTTGGTAATCTTGTTTTCATTGACAGTATAATGGATCTTTACAAGTATATTGACATTTTAAATCAAAATTTGAAATCTTCAGCAAGAAAATTGAACCTTCATAACGATTTTAAATTCTACCAGGACAATGACCCCAAGCACACTGCTTTGAACGCTTTGAACGTTAGACTCCGGCTGCTGCATAACTGTCCTGAAATAATGAAAACACCACCACAATCTCCAGACTTAAATCCCATACAGAATATTTGGAAAGAATTGGAATCAAGAATTAGCACACACCATTTCTTCAAAACAAAAATTAAAATCGGCTTTTCAAGAAGAATGGGGGTAAAATCACTCCAGAAATCACAAAAAAAAATTAGTCGAATCCCTCCCAAGAAGATTAAATCATGTTTTAAAAGTAAAAGGAAATCCAACAAAATATTAAAACCTTTTAAAAAGTAAAATTTTTGGATAAATATTTAATGGAAAAGTCCTATCACTTATGTGAGCCATTTCTGCTCCATTATAAGCAATTGTATTTTTATAAAATTAATATCTTAATATTTTGAGAAAATTTATGTTATGTAATAATTGTTACTAAATTTAAGTATGAAACACACCCACAAAAAATTTTGACACTTTTTTTAATTAATTTTGCTACAGTTTCTTTTTGTAAACCACAAGTGTCCCATCACTTTTGTAAGACACTGTATTTATCTTCCCTGTTTGTTGTGGATTAGCAAACTAAGCTATTTAAAAATAACCGATACAGCTCTTAAGAATATTTTTTGTGCATTTTATACTGATTGGTTTAAATAAATTTGACTGGATTTGTGACATATCTAATTAAAATGTGCAATATATTTATATAATTTCCTTTATATTTTTTCACCTTTAATGTATGTGATGTGATGTATTTTATTATGGCAAAGCACACTAGGGCTATCTGCCTAAGGGGAGGGATGCCTTCGTGGAGGACTTTCTAAGGGAAACTGGCTCGTATACACGTTACACATGAGGAAAACCACGAAAACACCCATGCAGCCAGCCCGTTCGCGGGATTCGAACCTCGGACCGAACTACCAGTGTTCAGCGACTTTACCGCTCGGCCGCTGGTGGGCCCTTTAATGTATGAAAAAGATACATAGCGTTTCATCTGGTATCGTATAAAATGTTTTGCTGTTCCATCTCTCTCGTCACTATTGGTAATCTTTACTGATAAAACTATATTAATTTTTAAAAGAGAAATTTTCTGTGACTTTTGAAATCTGAATACGTTCCGAGAATTTCTTTACATAATTTGTTACTTACCTGATTTTGTCAAAAGGGCCTGTGGAATTCCTATAATAAACAGAGTATCATTATAAAACAAGTAAAGTGGACAAAACTTCTTTTAAAAAGATAAAATTCTATTTAAATTACGTGAATAAAATATTAGGTGAATATATTTTTTCTTTAGTATTTCAAAATAATTTGTGGAGTTTTTAATTTCGTATTTCTAAATGGGTAGGATAATAAAACATTATTTTAAATTTTTGACAACCATTTCAATTTATGACAGACATTTTCACTCACGTTATGTGCCAAAAATACATGAAAAGTACCTGTAGAGCTCCACAATAAAAAATAGTTTTGAATTTATAATTGCTATGAAGGGGACGTAATGTATTTTGAAAAGGCAAGAAAGAAAACTGTGTAACATAAAACTTAAAACAGTTACGTATTTTCAATAAAATTTCAAATTAGTTTGAAGAACTTTTTAAATTAATGGTTATGAATTTAATTGAAAATTCTAAATAAACCTTACTTTCTACACATAAATATATACGGTAATAAAGTACTATTTTCAGTGTATGATAAACATATTACGTACCAAAATACGTAAAAAGGACCTGTGTAATTCCTGAAATAAAAAACAATTTTGTAACAACAGCTATGAAAATAAAGTAATGCATTTTGAAAAGAAAAAAAAAAAAAGAAATTTTCCTGTAGCTTAAGTTTCTTTTCAATTTTCGATAAAACTTCAAAGCAGTTTGAAGAAATTTTTAAATTAATATTTGTGAATTTAGTTGAAAATTCTCAATAAACCATACATTTTTTATGTTAAATAATTAACTGCATAAGCAACAAGATGCAGTTAAATTACATTATTTAACTACTTAACATTCTATTATTTAAATGATTTGAAAGGACATGTGCATTTCTTACAGGAAGAAAAAATAATTTAAATGTAAAATTTCCAAAATTTATATAATCAAAAACTAAAACTTTCACACATTAACTACTCTTAAGAGTGCAGGTTCTCTAGAGGTTTCACAATACTTTCTAAGACCTGCGAAACAGTTCTGAATAAAGTTTAAAAACAGCATTAAATTATTTATTTAAAATGATTAAGCCTGCAACTACAAAATTTTTAAGTATTACTTGAATTTCCATTTACCATATTTAATATTCCGTTTGATCTAAATGCTGCAATAAAAATTTAATATTAATATAGAAATTCTAGCATTTATATAAAAAAGCTTATAGCTGATGTCATTAGTTTTCTACTAATGGGGAAGGATATCTAGAATAAATTTTTTGGAGTTTTATAGGCGGTGTTCAAATAATTCAAAAATGGCATTTTCTATAGATCAAGAGTTTTAGAATTTTTGAGATATTAATAATGTGTTACATACTTCAATGCCGGATATGGAAAAGTGACAGCTTTCCTGTAATAAAGAATAAATATTTTATTCGCAAGTTGGAAAATATTAACTAAACAAAGTTATACAATTAAAAATTTTAAAAAGTAAATCGAGTTTTGTTGTGATATGATTTATGATTCATCCTCCCGAGACAAAATACTGCTTCAAAACAGGAAAGTATTCAATACTACAGAATACGATATACATGACATACGTTTTAACGCATGGGCGATTTATTCGCCTTTAACGTTTGACATGTTTTATCAGAAACCGTTTAACTTTATGAAATTTGTTTATTTTTCTACACTATATCTGATAAAGTCAAGCACTTCTGTTAAGATTGTTGTTATTTTATTAAAGGCAAGAACAGGAGCAAAACTTAAAAGCATGGCAAAAAATTAATAGTGAGTTTTAATGCGGCCTTTCATAGCTTATGTTAGGAGTTACTCTTGTCCTATCACTTTCTTACCTTTTCAAATAGATTATATTTATTTATATTAAATAAAGATTGTGAATGGTGGTAGTGTCTAATTAAACGCATTACATTTATGTTTTAAGCATAGAGAATTTAAGTAAATTGAATTCACTTTTACTTTCTGTAAAGAATAAATTTATGTCTTTGTGAATAGAAAGAATTTTTGAAAATATTATTTCAAATACGATACATCTTCAATGGGAAATGTGTAAGCTTTGCTTCCCTGCAATGGAAATAAACTGATATTTAAAGAGCTAATTAAGCAAGGAATTAGAAACAAAACTGCAGATACGAATGTAACAATAATATATCTGACATTATTTCACATAAAGAATACATGAAGAAATAGGCGTTTGCATACGTTTAAAGCAGCTGATTCTTACCATGCATGACACAATTTTTAACCAGAAAGTATACACGTGTTTTACAGTTCGAATAACATTTGGATAATTTCCTTATTCAATGAGCAGATTATGAATTGGCACTTCTAATATAGGCAAAATGATCTGGACGGTTGAGATTATGATTCACTATCTCTAAAGTGACCATTTTTTATAAATGTTCAATTCATGGATTAAGGAATAAGAAGAATTTCTTAAAATAAAGTGTAACTTACAATCCTTCGTCATGAGGTACAGTATGTGTGTTCCTGCAAGAAGAAAATTAAAGGATAAGTTGTTGAGAATTAGGAATTGAAACTAAAGATTTATTTGCACTAATATTTAAAAACAACTCACAGACTGGTAACTTTATGTTATATTTCGATGGCAAGGTTGTAAGGATCCTAAGTTTTACTAACGTTTATTTTATTTTAAATCTGTACTATCACATCTTATTTTCTACTTCCGGCCAGAATTAAACGCTTATTTATGCAAATTGTCTTGCTAACGCCAAGTACTTAAGTTGTGACTTTTTGCCAAGCAAGAGAGAGGAAGGAGTTATTAGAAGCAAGCCACTGTAGTTTTACGAGTTTTCACTCTGTTGCTGGTTTCCTTCAAGGCCAGAGGTTTAGCCCTCTTGATAATTGCAGACGTATCGTAGTTTTAGCAGCTCGGCGTACTACATACGTACCTTTCTTTAAATAAAGGCCAATTAGTGCTGGGCACTTGTATACTAATTCAAAGTTAGTTTTAGTTATAGTTAGTAGTTTTTATATTCTTACGTTCAGACCACAAGTGGTTTGTCTCTGTATTCCTAAGTTTCGGAAATTCCTGTAAAGTATAGAAAATAAAGGGTTTCGTATACCCTTCCTGCTTGTATTGTCTACTTCACAATTCTTGAACATAGCTTGAGTAAGCTCCCTGTTCCTATTCACGACCAGTCATGTTTCCAAAGCAAGTCAAAAGAAACACTAGTCCTGATAAGGTAATTTAAACCTTTTATTATATCAATATTCATGAGTTTAGTTTCAAAATGACTCCTTAAGAATAATTTTTATAAAGTAACAAATGTTGTCGATAATTTAATTTTATTAAAATAGCATTACTTACAGCTCTCCTTCGAATGGACCTGTGTAATTCCTAAAAATGAAAGTAACCATTTATAAATATAAATCAAATAGAAATTACAAATCAAATTTGAAATTAAAAATGTAATTTATATTGAGTTTGTTTAATGCCACGTTTTAGTAAAGGATCAAGAAAATCTGCGGTTTAGCTAAATTATTAAAAATATGTTTTTCAAATCAAATGTAGCTTAACGTTTACTAGAAATCGTGGTCTAATATCATTTACAATTATGTGAATGTATTAATATAATGGATTACATACCTAAAAAGTTCGTACAAGCCTGTGAAACTCCTACAATAAAAAAAGGATATTTTGTATCAAATTGGTTAGAAGGAAAAAAATTTTTTATATATATTAAATAATATTAAAAATTATTTTTTATACTTCCAAAATTAAAATAACTGATAGTTCTGATTTTATAAATGGCTTTGGATACAGTTTATGAATGGCAATGAAGTAGGATTTTGAATTACGTGTTACGTATTTAAATAATTATAAAGGATCTGAGGAATTTATGCATTAAAAGGGGTTTTGAAGCAACAGTTCCTATGAAGGGAAAGTAGTGCATTTTTAAAAGAAAATAAAATGTATTTTTATTAAATTAAGCTTAATATTCTCATTATTTTTCATTACAACTTCTTTTGTAGTGAAAGCTATTTGAAGAGTTCGACAAGCTGTTTGAAGACAAGCTGTTTCGACAAGCTTTTCAAATTAAGGATTATGATTTTAGTTAATAATTTAAATATATCATACATATTCTTAACTGATATGAACTGAAAGTTTTATGAGTAATAAGAACTGGTTAAATAACATATCTAACCTTATATATTTAAAAAGACCTGAAATTCCTGCAGGAAGAAATAATAGTATAAAATTAAAATTCATGAAAAAGATGATTAAAAATTCAAACGTTTTATAGATTACAATAAGAAAGGATTCTAATAATGCAGTTTGCTCTGTCCTTTCATAATACTTCAATTATTTGTGCAGTATACCAATGAAATTAAAAAGTCACTTCAAAATGTTTTTCTGTAAGTGATAAAACTTCAGATTCAAAATTTTTAAATTATTACACAAAATCAATCTTTCACAACTAAATATTCCTTTTTGATCGCTATAAATCTTACAAGAAGAATTTTTCACAAAACGAAAAGTAATGCAGGCGGAATGAATTTCGTTTTCATATTTATATAAAATAAAATGTGAATCTAAGTTATGATTCTACAAGCGGTAAATAATATCAGGGATATATTGTTTTTAGTTTCATTTTATATACCAAAAAAAAAAGATTAGAATATTCTAAACAACAAAGCTCTGAATGTTTTCTGTGGACGGTAAATTCAGTTTTCTCTATAGATGTTAAAATCAGAAATCGTAATTAATTTCTGAATTTAAATTAATTTATTCTAATAATTACTCAAAATTAATTTATTCTAATTTTGAGTAATTAAGAAATTCTTTAAAATGTATTATATACTTCATTAATGGATATGGAGCCGTGAACGTTTTCCTGTAACAAAGAATGAATATTTTATAATCAGTTTGGGAAAAAATGGAAAAGAAACACCAATTGGACCAAATTTATACTGGTAGAAATGAAATCAAATTAAATCAGATATTATTAGCTTCATTGTTCCATGCTTCACTGCGCTTCTCAACAATTCGCTGTTTTGCACTGTTTCAAACTGTCTCGGATTTGCTCAAACAACAGAATGCAAGACACTTCATTTATATTTTAATGAATGTACAGTGGTCCTAAGATTCTACATACGTTCTTTAACAATAAAATATATTGTTTAAACTTTATTTTGAGGAAAATGCGTTACAGCAGTATATCACTTTAATTATAACAACGATTGCTGTTTCTAAATCTGATTTATTCGCCTTCAAGGCTGAAAATATTTGATATTTTGAATTTTCTGACTTTTCTGAGAAAAATATGCTTCATCAAATCTAAGTTATCTTAGAGATTACATTAAGTTATTTCGTCCGGAGATGTCACATTTCTTGCTGAATTTAATTTAAAATAATTAGTATAATAAATATATGACCTTAAAAATATTTACTATAAATAATGAATTTATAACTTCTGATGTGCATGCAGTAGTTAAGTTACCAGCTCAAGAATCGAAATATTTCATATACACTTCTGTGATTTATACAATAAATGTTAATATTTAAATGACGAATTCAAAAAGAGGAAGCCAATAAAATTCGAAAGTTAAATAAACTGAATTTTATTTCACTTTCAAAAAGCACAAGCTTTCACTAACATTATTAATCCTTGAGCTTCGTAAGTATTTGATCAAGTTCATAATTTTATCATTATAAATTGCACTATAAAGTGCCTTAAATATATATACTCCATATCGGATAACTATTTGAAATTACAAATATGTGAGGAGTCATTAAATATTTTTTACTTACTGCTCTGCATTATGTGGAGTTGTGAAATATTTCCTACAACAGAAAAATATTTTATTGTCTAGTTGGGTGAACACACTTCAAAACGGAGAATTTGTAATAAGAGATAGCAAATGTTATATACTCCATATCGGATAAATATTTGAATTTACAAATACGTGAGGAGTCATTAAATATTTTTTTACTTACTGCTCTGCATGATCTGGAGTTGTGAAAAATTTCCTGCAACAGAAAAATATTTTATTGTCTAATTGGGTGAGCACACTTCAAAACGGACAATTTGTAATAAGAGATACCAAATGTTATATACTCCAATCGGATAATATTTGAATTATACGTGAGGAGTCATTAAATATTTTTTTACACTGTGCATGATCTGGAGTTGTGACAAAATTTCCTGCAACAGAAAAATTTTTATGTCTAATTGGGTAGCTTCAAAACGGACATTTGTAGAAAATGTTTTGTATTCAATGAACTCAATAGAAAATCAATGGTGATGAATAGTGATATTCAATAGAAAAAGTACATTTTCGAAATAGGACTGCATTAAATTATTTATGTGAAGGCAAACCGCACAAAACCTATTTGTTTAAAGGTAAGGATACCTTAGTGGAAGATTTCCTAACAGGAACGGGCTCCTATTTACGTTATAATGAATAAAGCTTGCAGAGTCATTAGGATTTTTTGGAAGCCAGAGAGATGAATAATTAGCAACCGCATTCGCCGGGAATCGAACCACGGACCTCTGGAATACCGGCCCAGCGAGCAGAACCACTACACCACGAACGACGTTAGGAAAGTGGGAAAAATACTTTATATACTCCCCTTTTTAAAGGGTTACTAGGGTTTTAGGGGACCTAGTCGCCAAATCCTGGGTGTGGAATAAGGAGAAGAAGTAGAGGTTCCTCGAGGCAAATGTAACTCCGTCAGACCGAAGAGACACATTATGTATATCCCTGAAGCTTTCTTTAAAGGGGCAAACCATTCCAAAGCTATCCACCCTCCGTACCTCACTGCGCATGTGCCAAAAACATCAGGAGGCAACAAAGCAGCATGCCGTCGGCCATATTAGCAATCTTTTACCACGTTGGTCAAAAAGGTTCTTTGTTATTGTAGTCAGAGGTACTCGGTTTTAGTTATGTAAAATTCTTTTAAAGACTTTTTAAATATAATTCTGTAAGTGAAATGGTTTTGGCTATTGGGTGAAAACTTTGCTCTTGGTTTTCACAATGGTCATTCCAAATAGTTTTCATGGTAATTTGTTTTTAAAGTTGTTGTCGGATAATTATAATGTATTTCAGTGTTTTCAATTTTTTTAGGGGTGCCTTTGATTATTTTTTCTGTTTCAGTTAGTTATTCCAAATTTTGCTTTTAAAATTTCACTGTAAAATTTTAACTATGGATTCATAAAAATTTATTACGTTTTGCATGGCATGTGTTTCCCCTTTTTTTAAGTTTACAGAAGAAAAGAATTAAGAAATTTAAATTTTGTTTGTTTTTGTATTTTTAAATTTTGTCATTTAAATTTTGTCTTCGTATGGATCGCTGTTTAAATTGAAAGTAAAAATTAGACAGGATTTCTATAATTCGCCCAAAATTCCAACTAACATCCTTTTGCTCATAAAACTCCAGAAATGTATGAAAATAAAACATTTTGAGTTATTTCAAAGTAAAAAATTTACTATCTCCTCGAACTGCGCTGTTTAAATTCCAACCTACGTTGGTGTTTCACTGTATAGCTGTGGCTCTTCGGTACAGCGGCGCACAGGCGAAACGGGTTTACATTGCGTCTATGGAAGCTTTCATTCTTCTCCTTAGAGATTCTTTGGTATCATCGTCCACTACCCTTTTAGTTCGAGTGCCATTTGTAGAGTCATTAGGTTGATTGGAAGTGAAAAGATAAAAAATATGCAACCGCCTTCGCCGGGAATCGAACCACGGACCTCTGGAATACGGGCCCAGCATGCAGAACCACTACACCACGAAGGACGCTAGGAAAGTGGGAGAAATACCTTATAAGCTAAGAAATTTCTCATTCAGCTAGCCAGTTATCCGCGATTTATTGACGGAGCGAATTATCAATATTTAATGTTTTTACTACTCAGCTGCAATCGGGGTCTTTTCGAAATAGGAAATTCATGTTAGCCACGGAACGTACGATTTCTAGTTTTACTTCAATCAGATATGCTGTGATCTTTAAACAGCATTTAAGCATTTTTATGGCAGAGGCCTTTTTCTAATATCAATTATAGGAAGCATTGTTACAATCAAGAAACTCAGAGTATTTATTTATTGTGTAAAAACAACTGAATTCAATTTTTTTAAATCTGCTTCTTTTTTTTCCCCTCTTTAAGATCGAAAATATTGACTTAAGAGCGAAAAGAGCGAAAATATTACATAGTGCGAAAAATATGTGAAAATAGTGCGAAAATAGTAATATATTACATAGTGCGTTTAAGAGCGAAAATAGTAATATATTACATAGTGCGTAAATTACGTGATTTTATGGTTATTCTTTACAAGACTCACACGAATGCTTCATCAAGGGAAAATAAGCAAAGAAATTCACTTGCTATTACTTTTACTTTTCTTAAGGGCGAATTGTAATCAAGGATAAAATAATTTGCAAAAATAAGCCGTTATTACAAAAAAAAAAAAAAAAAAAAAAAAAAGGATTAACCTTTATTAATGTAGAATAAAGGTTGCAAATGGTGACAACGCTGTTACAATTGTACACTCTTTAAGCTGTTGTTGTTCTGTTTATTCTCGCTTTTCTGATATCATAGAAAGCCCATGAAGTTCATCGTGGTAAGGAGTCAAGTTTCGGTCTATCACCTTGGGCATCATTCAAGTGACAGTACGAATTTGTTCAATTCCTCCCTGTTATTTGAAGGAAGGCACTCCAAGAGGACAGGTCCGAGGATCTCCCACCCTCTTCCCCTACAATCGGTCTCTCTAGAAGACATTCCACTCACAGCATATTTAGAATCCTCGCATGCCCCACAGATACTATACACATTCAAAAATCCATGCCTTTGCAGTGATTCGAACCCGGGCACTTCGGTCCGGCTGTGAGAGTCACTAACCACTATCGACTATGGCAACACATTCTTTGTAGTGAAAATTTGTTGAAATTAAATGAATATAATTGTTGGATTTGTTGATTTTAAATTTATTTTGAATTTAAACAATTTTCTGGTTCCATAAATTATAAATTCAACATGTTATTAAGAAATACTTTTTTTTCAAAGAATATGTTACATAGTATATCTTCATATGGAACTGTGCAAATGTGCCTCTAATAAATAACGACAGTTAAAATGCAAGAGGAAATAATTTAAATTAAACATTCATTTATGTTGATAAATGCTTGTTTCATATATTTAAAAAGATATATTTCTGTAAAAAATATATCTAAAATTTAATTACATAAGAATAGTAATCGCTATAAAAAGTAAACTTATACATTTCTGAATCATAAAATGTTTTCTTTAAATTATTATAGACTTACATTACTGCTTCATGCGGTAGGGTATGAGTACCCCTAGAGTAAAAGAAGTAATAAATAAGCGTTACAAAGCAATGAAAAGCACAGAAATACAACTTGTAATCAAAATAAACTAATTTTTTTAAATGATATGTGACTAACATTTCTGCTTTATGCGGTAAAGTAAATGTGCTCCTACAGTGAAAGAAATAATACATAAGCGTTAAAGCCATCAAAAGCACAGAACTACAAATTTTAATTAACTAACTTTTTTAATGATATATGACTAACGTTTCTGCTTTATTCGATATACTATAAGTACCCTGCAGTGAAATGAATAATACATGAGTATTAAAGCCATGAGAAGTGCAGAACTACAAGTCTAAATTAAATCAATTAATTTTTTTAAATGATATGTGACTTACGTTTCTGCCTCATGAGGTACAGTAAAAGTGCTCCTACTGTGGAAGAAATAATACATGAGCGTTAAAGCCATGAATAGCGCATAACTACTGTGGAAGTTTAATTAAAATAACTAAGTTTTAATAACTAAGTTTAATTACTAAGTTTAATATTTAACTAAGTTTTAATTAAAATAACTGATTTTTTAAGTAATAAATGACTTACGTTTCTGCTTCATATGGTACAGTAAAGGTGTTCCTATAGTGAAAAGAGCAATGCATAAACGTTAAAAACATGAAAAGCATAGAAATGCAGCTTGTAATTAAATAGCAAGACATATATATTACTAGATATGTCAGTTTTTTCAGTTTAATATCATAAGTTTTTTTAAAATATCTTGAATTCATTTATATTCTCAAATGGATAAATTCATAATTCTTCAAATAATATGAATAATTTAATCAGACTTTTGCAATTCCTGGAAGGAAAACATGAATGTTTATAAAAAAATTAAAGAAACTGAGTATGAGGAAAAAAACTTATTTACAGTTGTATCAAATTAAGCTTTTAGTTATATCCTCCTTCGGAAGGAATATGCCTTTTAATCAGTTTTTATAAGATAAAAACATGTAAATCAAAATTATAATTTAAACTAAAGGGTAACCCTTTAATTTTCCCTCTCTGTTCTAAAAATCGTAACAACTTCTCTGGATTGCGCAACTTCTAGATCACCCCCTTTTGCATGGTCCGCGCAGCACTGATGACATAATAATTGGGAACTGAAACTTTTAACTCAAACCAAATCTTTTCTCTTCCTGTGCTTCCATATTGGGTAACTACGCACTATAGTTTATGCCTGTGCAATGCTTGTACTCAATTTCGCTAAGCTCGCCTCCTATCTCAATATTATCAAAAATGTAAATGTTCTTAAATATGCACGACTAGAGAGAGTGCCAAGCGAACTGTCGACACTAAATGCCTGTTGCAAAAAAAATTGAATTAAGACTGCCTCGACTGTCAAGTTGTTTAGATACTGCGAAGTTAACATATTAGCATACTACGCAATCAGAATTCTTCCTCTTCAAAATGGATCTACGATCTATCGTGTCTATTACGCATCGACGCTGCTCCGTCTTTCCTTGCTATTAATACATATATACATACTATATATCTAAAATGATGGAAATAAAATACCGTCACCCAATTCCAAGAAATCAGTTTAGAGGAAAGAATTAAAGTAGAAATATTTGCGTAGATGGATAAATTTACTTGATTCATTTTGTTACAAGGTTACAAGTTAAAGTATGCGCAAGCGGAGTTATTTCAAATCTGAAATGGTGATACAATAATAATCACTGTAGTCGCCACGATGGTGAATGCAAGCAGGCAAAAGCACATGCATTTTGTCATATAAATAACGTATGTCCTTTTGTGACATGGAGTTCCATACCAATTGTACTTTTCTATTCAAATCAGCAACGGTCCGTGCCATTGCGGGCAATGTTCAATTTATCACCCAACCATATAGCGTATGTTCTTGATGGGGGAGAACTCGGATGGCCTTGCAGGCTGAGGCAACATGTGGACACTCTTTGGTAATTTACAGGTTGATAATTAGGGTATAGGGAGGAGCATTCTGTAGGAAAATGCCCCCTGAAATAGTGCTCAGGAATGGTAGTACAACCGGATCACCAGTCCGATGTACAAATGTTCTATCAAGATGTATGGGATAACGACAGAAGTTTTCCTGCTGTCATAACGAATTGCTGTTCATACCATAAATCCTGGTATAGGTCCAGTGTGTCTACGCTGAATACAGCTTGGCTTCAGTCGCCGACCTGGTCTTCTTCCAACCAACATACGGCTATCATTGGCACCAAGACAAAAACGACTCTCATCTGAGAACACAACAGATCTCCACTACGGGCTCTCTGAGGAAATCTGGCTTCCCACTGACGAAGTCGCAAATGGCGAGGATTTGGAGTCTGTGGTATGGCCCCTACAGGCGTCTTAACTCGAAGACCTCCCTCAAATAATCCGTTGTTACAGTTCGCTGTGCCACAAGAGCTTGACTGTCTGCTGCAGATGCAGTGCGATGAACTACAGACATGCTGCGCATTCGGCCTTCGACGGTTGAGTGACGGGCGGAATCCTGCCTTCTTGAGATATTACTCTGCATAACCGCCGTTGCCAATATGCGTACGCAGTGGATATATAGCTCATTCAAACTGATTAAACTGCTGATACTTCCTTCTTCCTTCTTAAAGCAATTCTTGACACAAACCAATCCGAGAAGCAAATAAGGCACACGAAGTGTATTTAAAGCGCACGTGACTTCCTTGTTGATAGTGGCCCTCCTTATCGTCTAGTGCAAAATATGAATACAAGTTATCTTTCAGATCTTTAAAGACGCTTCGCAAGCATCCTTTGTTTTGTTGGTATTCCATTTTTCATCAGTGTACATATTCGAAAACCACACATACCAGTTTTTTTTTAAATAACTCAAGAATTCTTACAATTTTCACTAATATTAATTTATAAGCTCAATAAATTACTTACGTAAATTCTTCGTTGTTGAATGTGAAGTTCCTATGAAATAAAAAGTAAATTAAAAGAAAAGAAATAACGTAAAGTAAAATAAAATGCTAAAAACAATAGAAAATCCGAACAAATATGTAGAACTGAATTAAAGTAAAAAACTTAAGTAAAACATTTATTTTAATTTACGTTATATAAATTAAATATATTTTTGAAACATCATAATGATTGCAAAATATTAATAAACTAAACGTTATTTAATTTGCGTTATATAAAATAAATATATTTTTGAAACATAATAATTATTCCAAAATACTAAGAAATTTATCGTTAATAAATGATGATAAATTTATTTTAAAATTACTAAATAGTTATTTTCAACAATGAATAAATTCGTGAATACTAATTATTCTTATTGTGTCTACGGTGTGCGTTATTGTGTATTAAATTCGTGAATGTTCGAAATATACACATTCCTTAAAAATATACTGTTTGTATATATATTTCATAAAGCTCTTTGCAATTCCTGACAAAAATAGTTTTGCAAGCAATAAGCTCAATGAAGGCAAATACTTTTCAAAATTAAGACATATCGAACGTAAGCTGAATTTAAAAACCTCATCTCAGTTTTACATGGATATTAAATTGTGTAAAATACAATACGTCGCTGATGCAGGTTTTTCTTCAAAACTTAAAAAAGTTTTAATAAAAATTCAATTTAACGATTACGAATTGTTATAAAAATATAAAAATTGACAATAAATAATTATTTTCTGCGAATATTTAGCTTACGACAGCACGCGTAATAGGAATGACTTAAGTTACGCATCTAAATGCTTGTAAGGGCCTGTGAAATTCCTATAATGAAAAATAAATAAGTATGAAACAATAAATTCAAGAAATTGAATTTCAGATAAAAACTTTTTCAGTAGTTGTGCCAATATTGTTTTTTCCTGATCTCATTATTCTTCAAGATTCAAAGAAAATTCTTTAATGAGTTTTAGTTTTTTAAAAATGCATATGTTTTTAAAATGGGTCTAATATTATTTTCCAGAAATATTAAATTTGTAAGTTTATTAATTTTACTGATTGCTTAAAGTAATAGCTTACGTACCTAAAAACTTCATATGTTCCAGTGTAATTCCTACAAAAAGAAAAGAATATTTAATTGGTTGTTATAAAAAAGAGTAAGAAATGGAATTTGAAATCGAGATTTTGCTTGCAATTATGTTAAGCAAATATTATTATAATTTACCTTTACAATATATTTCACCTTATAATTCACCATTACATATAATCTTATAATTTACCATTACATATAATCTTATAATTTACCATTACATATAATCTTATAATTTACCATTACAATAAACCTTATAATTCCAATTTAGAATTATTAACAATTTTAAAAAGACGCTAGGCCTAACAAAGCTACTATTTGTTTACTTTAATGTAATATAATGAATTAAGTCAGTTAGTATACCTACTTCAGCGTCTGTTTCCCGGCGGGACCTAAGTTAATTTAAATTTTGTGGTGTTTTAATTTTTTCTTTATTTTGCAATTTTTAATGAAGACGATCTGAATTTTTATGTATTTTTCACTATTAACTAGACAATTACATAAAATAGTATCTCATGTAAATGATACATGTACAATGGTCAATGGTTATATAAACCGCTTTTTAACTGGACATGGGCCATTTCCCACATACTTCTTCAGATTCAACATCTCACACTCTGAGCAATGTGTATGTGGAAATAAAGGTGACCCAATCCATTATATTACTCAATGTCCCTTAACAAAGTCAACTCATATTAAATTGCCTAATTCAAATATCAATGCCTTCCTTCGTTTTGCAATTACCAACAACATTTAAAAATAAAATAGAAAATACAATCAAATATCTATCTTCAATAGGCAAAAATTTTTATGAACACTAATGTATTAATGTCAAATTCATTTTTGAAGCTGCAATTCATCTAAAACTTTTTATTTCTAATTATCTTAAAACAAACCCTTGCAACAATAATGATATAGTAATAAAAAAGGAAAAGGAAGAGGAGAATACGATTCATATAATAAACTTTATCTCAAGGAACTATTATGAACTGTTTAAAATTATGACTGTTAGCCTACTATTATTATACCTGTTATAACTACTATAATTATATCTAATAGATATATCAATCAAAATATCGACATACTATTTATACTGTTATATTATGTTATATTATGTGTTATATTATACTATGTACTATTTTGAATATTACTTTAAAAATAAACCGAAGTGTAGTGGGACTATACGTACATTACTTATAGTAAACATTGAGTGTCCCACTACATTTCCACCTTAACCTGAACCTGTATTTTTCACTTGACCCGACTGAACTGAACTGTTTGAATGAGAATTGTATCTATAATGAAATCCGAGGAAATAAGTTTAAATGATGTGGAGAAAACAAAATGTGTGTAATTTAGCAGCTCGTATAAGGAAGTCATATGGTGTCCGTATCAGATTTT